TAATCAGTAATTTATCAACAGTATTTATAATTTTAAAGTAAATATCTAGTTATTAACAATATTTATAATAACAGTAATTATTAATTATAATCACTAATTATATATTTATTAAATTACTGTAATAATCAGTAATTATTAAATTCCAGTAATTTATAATAACAGTAATAATTAGTAATAATCAGCCTCACGTGAGAACCTACTCGCACAAATAGATTCCATTTCCTACACGGAGAGAGCATATATATATATATATTAATGATGAATTCATGGGCTAGCATACATGATGGTATACTATTTTTATCTTATTATTAATTATGATAATAAATAGTAGTTATAAAAATTAATATTTTCTATTTGACACAAAATGATTTGGGCACACTACGGGCAATTTAATTTGATATGAACACACTAAGGGTGATTTGATTTGATATGGCCACACCATATTTTGCATCCAATGATGTGCCATGGGGTATTGATGGAAACATGAAGAGTATGCCAAAATTGAACATAATCTTATATATATATATATATATATATTCTAAAACGCATTTGTCCATGGCAATATATTTTTTCTTGTTTCTCTCCTTTAGAGATTTGTGGTTTTTTTTATTTAAAAAGATAAAAAATAAAAGACAAAGTATAGGCTACTCACAACCGTTTCAATTTCGCTTTTATTATGAAACCTGTAATCACTCCCTTATAAAATATGGTTATCTTTCAATACCAGCCCATGCATCGCATGGGGCTTTTATAGTCTATTAGCAAACATGTACGTACGTGTATTTGCACATGGCAGTATCTTTAAGACAAAATTAATTATAATTCATGAACAATTTTTGAGCAGTTATAAGTGGGCAATTTCTAAACAGTTATAAGTGGACAGTTGCTAAAATAAGAGTAAAAGACATATATGCCCTTTTTATTGTCTATTATATGTTTAAACCAAAAGATAGAAAATGTCCAACAAAAATTCCAGCAAAAAAGTGCATTGGCTCTTTTATAGATAGTATAAATATAGATAGCTTACTACATTCCAAAACGCGGTTGTCTATCTCAGCCAATATATCTTGCTTTCTACCCCTTCAGAAATTTGTGCGTGTGTTTTTATTTAAAAATAAAACATGGTCATCTTTTGGTGTCCGTATCTCATGGGGTTGTTATAGTCATATTCCTATAAACAGGATTAAAGATCTAGTTGCCTTTGCTTTATACTAATTGAGTGATACATGCAACTCCCCTCTTTAGGACAATGATGGTTAACCTAGGTTTGTTTTAACTAAAAATTGAAAATATTTTGATTTAGGGGGAAAATAGAAATGTTGGCAATGACATATTGTCTGAAGTTTTATAATATTTTAAATCATCCGAAATTATAATATTCATAGTTTAATGGGTTTTAATGATTTTAGTACTACACTATTTATTTTGGATTTTCAAAAATTAAACAAAAAAACATACATTGTGCTTTTAGGCCGATATAACGAAATTTCGTTTTAGTCCAAGCGGCCGAAATATCCCATCAAATTTCGGTTTTTAATGCAAGGCCCGGACCGGCCCAAGATACAAGGCCTAATCTTGAGAAGCAGCGAGGGCTTGGTATCGGAGGAGAGCGAAGGGAATGCCTGAAAAATGCAGGTATACCTCTTAGTGAACCCGAGCTCCATCAATGGTGGAGCTGGGGTATCAGCCGGCGTCAAGGGAAACCTCTTAGGGGTCTCATGGAAGCAATCGCATCGATGGAGCCGTCGAACAGTTGTGGCGTCAGCGGCCATCAATGGCGAGCAGGACCACTATGCCGTGCTGGGCATCTCATCTAGTGCTTCCCCTGCCGATATCAAGAGGGCTTATCGTCTTCTCGCTCGAAAGGTGGGTACTCATCCCCTGGGCTGTATTAGATTTTACCACTACTGGATTGATCGGACATTGAGAAGATCGTTCTTGATTTTGTTTTCTGTTAATTCTTATCGTGATGTTAGAGATGCCTCCTGATATATACGAAATGTGTTCTTTTGTGAAATATTTCTAGATGTTTGAATTTTGTATAGTTCTTACAATGAAAAAAGGAAACAAAAAAGAATTTTGTTTAGTGAGATAGTTGTTTTAATCTAAAGTTGGAGTGAGAAGCATGGTTATTTAATAGCTTAAGATATGTCATATATGAGGCTTTGGTGGTGGTGGTGAGAGGAGAGCTGTTTAGTCAATACTGTATCTAAGTGGAGAAGCCAATGAGTTCTGTTCAGCCTTCATTGCCTCCATTATGACGTTGTATCTCAAATCCAAATATGACATTGCAGTAGAGATGACTTCATTTTGCATCATTTGTTTTTTTCCATGGGAAAATAAAGATATCTATAGCAGATTGTGATTTGTATAGTCGATTTTAAACGATTGGTTATGTTATGTAGTACTTGTATTGATAAAAAAAAATGTTATGTTGTATTTGGACCACTGGTATGTGGATTCAGAGATCAAAGAAATATATGCTTCAAATTTAAAGCTAGATCCTTTGTCAATTTAACTGTTCACAGACAAGCCAACAGGAACCACAATTTACAATCAACAAGTTACATTTTACAACTTGGTTTGAATCCATACTTTATTTAGACCAACCAAAAATATGCCAAACGTGAACATATTGGCTGAATACCGTAAAAAAATAAAATAAAATGAGACACACCTGAAATTAGTTGATAACATAACCCTTTGGTGGCTTGACAAGAAAACACAAAACAGTCATTCTATTACAACTATCCACCCACAAAAAGTAACTCTATCATTGTGCTCTCAAATCCTTGCTGCTCTGCCACAAGTACTCCTCCAGCCTTGCTCCTATATCTGCAACTTTTACCTCTTCTTTCTCTGTTATTTTTCAACTCTGTGTTTGAACCTGAACTAAACCCTACTTTACCCCTTCTTCCTTTTTTTACTTGACTCCATTTTTTTTTTTGAGAAAAGTAAGGTAAAATTTTATTCAAGAAACACTGAGAAAACAGATTACAACCAAGGACCCCAATGTCAGGAGCCAAACACACAAAACCACCTACAATACATCATAACTCAAGGAAGTCCCTAGATCTCAACTGAGAACAAAGAACAGAAGCTTGGAGGCCCTTGGCCGCAGCCACCCAAGAGATGAGCTTGCCGAAAGCAAAGGCAATCAAGCAATCTATATTAGAAGTCTTGTTTTGAAAGATTCTTCTGTTTCTTTCAGTCCAAACTGTGCATAATATGGCTGCAGGCAGGACACTCCAAATGCACCTCGCCAACTTGGAACCACCCTTAAGCTCCCAACTCCATAACATATCCTTAACAGAGCATGGCATACACCATTGGAGCCCCAAGCCCGACAGAAAATGATTCCAGATTGTAGCTGTAACAGAACAGTGAATGAACAGATGCTTGCCGTCTTCAGCCATTTGGCCACATAGAACACACAGCAGGTCCTGAATCTGCACACCCCTCCTAACCAGGGATTCTTTCGTAAGACATCTATTCAGAACCGCTGCCCAAACCAAAGCATTCACTTTAGAGGGAACTAAAGGATTCCAAATTTTCTCAGCTGGAACTTTTGGATGAATTACTCAATTCAGAACCCCAGCAAAAGAACTAACAGAGAAAATACCATCCGCACTAAACTTCCAATTCCAAGAGTCCTCAGACGACAAGTCTATGGACTGCCTGTACAGCAACCCCAAGAGATCTACAACTTTCTCAACTTCCCAGTCCTGAAATGACCTTCTAAATGAAGGGTTCCAAGAAATAGTACCCCTACTCACTTCAAACTGACTAGCCACTGGACCATTCTGATTTTCTGCTATCTGAAAGAGCTGAGGGAAAACTCAGCAAGAGGTCTATCTTCACACCAAGTATCCTTCCAGAACTGCAGCCTATTCCCATTCCCCACCTTTGGAGTTAAACCCAGATTATGCTTCAAGTCCCCCTTTTTCCTTTGTCAATTTCTGACTTTGGGTTTGAACTTGATCTAGTCTCCACTTCATCATCCTTGGCACCTACCTCCATGCCATTTCCCCCCTGTTGTTCCATTTCTACCAGCAACAACCACTCTTCCTTGATGAACCTTCAATTCTACATCCTTCCACTCATGTTCCCCAAGCTTGTGAAAATTCTTCCAATTGACCATAAAGAGGAACCCAAGCCATTTTTTTTTTCTTTTTTCTTCTAAACTGCTGGCAGCCACTGGGTGTTTAAACCTCTAGCATGGCTTCCTTATTTTCTTCCTCCTCAGCTCACAGTTTTCACCTCCTGCCCTCCTGAGTTGGGCATAGCCTCCTCTATATCAGCCCTTAACTGCCTCCTTTCAGACAAACAAACAACATGGACCTGACCTTAGTCCTGTTGGTCACTTGGATCACCAATACAGCCTGATGACCCTCCAGTACCTCCAACACACTCAGAAAATGCAGCTCCAATGGAGACAGGCTCCTATGCAGCCTCTGGTAGATTTACCAAATTAATTATAGCTCTCCTCTGCATTCTCCACCTCAACTTGACCCACTTAACTGAATAAAGGCAACAATGTACAATCTTGAACATTGAACAGAACATCTATGGGAGGCAGCAATGATCTTGAATGGTTCCACACCATCTCTGGTGACCCTTCCACACCTGAGGATGATGAGGTATGAGGCTAGGCCTTTGGTGTAGAAGTGAACAAAGAGACAAAAATCCTCTTTCTGCTTCTTTTATACACCTTAAAGGTCCAATTTATTTTGGGGGTCAGCACTTAAAGTCACACATCAAGTGCTTCTGTTACTCATAATAAAACCTATTCAGACTTTCAGCCACTCATATCTAGAGGCCAAATAACACAGTTTGTAGAAACATTTATTCTAATGGCTATATGTATTATTAAGCCCAGTTCTGAGGTGGAAGAGTTCCTGACTCTGACATCTGTTCTCATGAAATATGCTTTAGACGAATATCAGATCCTCTTATTTGATAGCACTTAACCTGGACTGGACCTATCTGGATAACGCATTTGGTCTGATATATTTTATAGGTTGCTTTATTATTGTTAGGCCTTAGGCGACAAAAATGCTATAATTACATTATTCTCTTTGGCACTCTTGTACTTCTTTGATTTTTTTTGTGCATCCTTTGATGTACCAAATCTTCATTATTTATAACTTTTAATCTCCCTAATTTACATCTTAATGTTCTGAACTTTATTGGTATAAATTTTAATGTTTATCCTTTTAATGTTCTCTGTTCTTTTTGTGGTTATGAATTCATCAAAAGACTGATGTTAACTCTCTTTTTTTCCACTTTATATCTCTTGTTGTAATTTCAGTATCATCCTGATGTTAGTAAGGATTCACAAGCTGGTGAGGTTTTCAAGAGCATCCGTCTTGCATATGATGTAAGAATCCTTTGTAACCTTTATTTTGTAAGGTAACAGTCTTTAAATATGACTTAAGAGGTTATTGGAATTGTTAAGAATCCAAAAACTAAGTCTCTTTGCTTATTGAACAGGTGTTATCTAACGAAGCAACAAGAGCTCAATATGATGGCACACTTAAATTTCAGGAAAACATGGGCAGGCCATGGAAGAGGCATGTCCCTGAATTTGATGAAGAGATCAGGATGTACAGGTGGGCCGAGTTGAGGAAGCAGATGTGGCGTGACAGGTACAGGCAACAAAATTATGCTAGTGAAGAGGATTCTTCCTCGGATGGTGAAACAGATGACATGCATGAAGAAGAAAGCCCCGACAACGAGAGAGGACCATTTAGTGAAGTCCTGAGATCCGCCTTCTTCACTCTGTTCCTTATGAAGGCTATTGGATCTCGGTTGTCTCTGACACTTTGCAGCCTGAATGCATTGCTTGACAAGAAGTTGGATGCTGGATATAAAATAGGTTATCTAATTGCATGGATTATAGGTGGTACAAGAGGTATCCTGCTTACATTATCCCTGTCATTCACAAGTTGGCTTTGTGGTAAAACCAGTAGCAGCATTGTTGCTGTGGTGGTGGTAGCCATGTGGGTGGGTATGAACCTGGGACCGTATGCTCCACTTCCACAGGGTGCACTGTTAACACTATTGTACATGTCCATTAAGCTTCATGTCGATTTAAGCTAAGTCTACTTCATTCGTTGCCTGTAATAACTAATAAATGCTTGTACATTTCCCACCTTTCTAAGACTAAGATCGTGTTGTATATATAACTTCCTGTTTGGTAAAGCTAGCATTTTTTCTATCGATTGTAAAGTTCAATCGACGACCATGCATCATCATTCAAGAATGCAGCATCAAGATTGTTGCAAAGCGGCAAGCAGGGGGCTGAACGTTTGATGGTCGAGATTGATTAAATGACGAGAATTGGAGACATGAAGGGGGCGTTGTAAAACATGAATGTTTTTGTTTTCATTTGTTTTTGAAATCGCTTTAACTCTTTTAAAGAGAAAAACAAGTTGGTTTTGTTTCAGAAAACAATATATGTTTTTGGAACTTGTTTTCTGAAACCATCAATATAATGGTTTTTACAACAAAATTAAAACTTGTTTTTGTAGTATATAAAAAATTATATGATTTATATAACATGAAAAGTGAAAACATGTTTTTTAAACTAGAAATTCAAGAATATGTTTTTTGTTTCAGTTTTAAAAACAAAAAACATACACAATAAATAACATGATCTTTTGTGTTTTTGTTTTAAAAAATAATTTATTTTTAAACCCGATGATTTTGATTTATTTTTAAAACCGGCAACAAGAAACACAATTCGCATTGTAAAACACCCCCGGAGTAACTGTAAGCTTTCTACTTGCTTGCAAGGAGACTGTAAAATAAAATAAATCCATCCTCTGAAATCAAAACAAATACAGCTTGTCATTGGAGTGTGCAAGGCTTTGTTCAAACTAGTCTTCACTTTCCCTCCATTGGCCATCCTAGCAAACACAATAAGCTTTCATTAAAAGCAATCAAAACACATCCTTTCAAGATTGAATTCTTGTTCTTCCTAGGACAAGAACCCAAAACACTCCCTCTAGTCTCTACCATATACACATGAATATCTACATCAAAGTCGGGTTGAATTGGGTTAAGTGAAGCCTCAACCCTAACCCAACCCGGTTGAATTGATTTAGGGTTTGGTATTTTTGAACCCTAACCACCCAACGAACCCAACTCAAATCTGATTTTTTTAGTTGATTCCAATTGTGTTTGAAGTTCGAACTAATTGAGCACATGTTTAACCCCCATATAAACCCTTTGGCATCCATTGTCTGTAGAGCCCCACCTAATACCAAGCCCAAAACTCAAAAGTAGATCAAGCGGTTGTTGTGACTTGTGAGTGGTCACAGGGGATTTGAACTCTTCTTTGTTTGTATATAGATACAATAGCACTTCCTCTATGTATCAAAGGCTAAAGACGCAAATCAAATTGACCTAAAAAGTGAGACAAACATGGGTATCCACCCTTTGTGATCTACAGGTCATACTTCAAATTAAGGTGTCTTCACAAAACACCAACTTGGGTGCTTAGTTGCTTTCCACATTTACCCACTTAAATGTTGTTTTAAGATTAAGTCATAAGCCTGAAAGACACAGCCAATGTCTAATGGATGTGATCCATTTAGCAATAATGAGCCTCGTCTGTGCATTGTTCCAAACTTCCAATCACCATTTCAATTTTATTGTGACCTAGTCAAGATAACTCATCAATTGTAACCAATACATGATACAAACAATGTCGCAATTAAAGGAGATTCTTAAAAGGAGAGAGAGCTTAGTGGTTCACTAGATGGAATCTGGAATCTTTGCTTCTTTCTAAGATAGAATAGATGTGAAGGTGCAGCATCAGCATTAGCTACCAGCACTTTGGTCACATGTCAACTTTCAGATTTTTTAGATGCCATGTTAAGTTTTCTTATTCAAAATGACGTCAAGGGTCCTTGACCAGCTGCTATTCAAGCCATTTGAGGTGCAAAGGTTTCAAATATGTGGAGATGGAGACCCTATTGCCCATTTCTTTATGCATTTTTAATGATTTTTCTCAAAAAAAATGTGAAATTTAGTTCACATGTGAGCTAGGCTAGCAATCAATCTCTTATTTTCTTCTTATTTTTGTTTTTCTATTTTATCATTTATTAATTTCTAAGCACATGATCTAATCACTACTGTCAAACTCTCTCTCCTTATTAGTTTCTAATTCCTAAAACTAGACCTGACAATAAGTTGACCAATCCATGAACCTGACCCAATCCAATCCGAAAAAACAGGGTTAGGGTCTCATATTTAACTATCTGAATGTGAGAATGACCCGACCTGATCCAACTCGAAAAAAGTTGGGTTAGGTTGGGTTGGGTCATGGATCAACTCACTGACCTGATTGCCAAGTTTAATTGGGACTATTTATGCATTGTTAGAAGTTTCTACTCTTTAATTTTTTCTATTTAGTCTTTACTCTTTAAATTGTTAAATGTTCAAGTTTTTTTATTTTATATTTGGAATTTTAAGGTTAATTTCTTTAATTTTGACATTTTTCATGTAGTTTTTCTTTATTTTTTAAATTTCAGTTATTTTTTGGGATGACCCAAATTGACCCATGGGTCAACCCTAACCTGAACATTTAGGATTAGGGTCTAGCATTTGGTAATCCAACCCGACCCGAATCAACCCGAAGTGTCTTAACACAACCCAAACCCGAACCACCCAACCCGATTGCCAGGTCTACCTAAAACTCTTCTTATTTTCTATCTTCCACAATCCCCTTTCTCATCTCTCCCACTAATTCCTCTCTCTCCTACCCAAAAAAATCTTACCTTTTATATTGATATTATTGTTTTATTTTATTTTTTTTTGTTATCCAATGAAAATTTTGAGGTCTGATGAATGCTTTCTTGTTTAGCATTTCTACCTGTTTATCATTCATTGGATCGATATCTGAAAAAAAGAAAACCTGAACAAATTTTTTATTGTCTGAAGTTGTGAATTTATCAACCAATGACAATGAGTGAGTGCTTTTGCTTATGACTCATGAGTCATGATTTACTCAGTAGTGAGAGTGTGGTTTCATTGAATCTTTCGTCACTCCAACAAGAAAGTACCCACTTGATTACGTAGTTTACTCTAATCAGTGGTTTTGGTTGTTAGGCAAATGGGTTACACAATGGGGATATGGGGTAGCCTGACGATGGCATGATTCTATCCAAGTTCTCTACTACAACCAGTACAACACTTTATGAGCGAGCCGGGCACCAATCCAATTTGTTCCACAACTAGAGGAAGAGGCAAATACATTTGTGGAAGAAGGAAGATTCCTTGATCCTATATATAGCCTTATTTTTTAAACAAATCCGATCCACTGATAGCAAATCCATACAAATTCAACAATACTTGGTAAATGCATAAAGGAAATAAATAGATTTTTTATATTAATTTGTGATGAAACACTTGTGAGGTGAGAAGAAGTAATCTGTCAAGTTAGGTGATATGATGGAATAGGATATGATGAGTGTTGGCCTTGATTCAACGGTTGGGTTGTTCCGTTGCGACCTGAGTAATGTATTGGCACTGGCTGCCCTTAACATTACAAACTTAGATTTAGATGATGAAGACAATGATGGTTTTATATTTGTAATAAAATAAGTAATTTTCAATTTGTTTTTTTAGTAATTCCTAAGCTAAAGCTGAAGCCTTTACATTGCATGGGCTTTTTTGCTGGATGATAATTATAGATAGATTAGGGCGGTGTTTGACATCAATGCCATTTTCTGAGAAAATAGTGTCATGTAGGTGTCATATCAGAAAAGCGGTGCTTCAGAATTCTTATTTGGTATCGTTTTTTCATAAAAACTGTTGCTTCAGACTATGCCTTAGAAATTGGGAAAGTGTGGTCTAAAGCAACACCAAATTCGATGTTTTCTCAGAAAATAGCACATCAGCGGTGCAATTATGTGACACCAATGTGAAAACGATTCTATAGCATTGGCACCAAACAAAACCAGTGTTGTTTTTCCAAAAAACAGCTTATATGACAACACCACTTCCAAACAAAAGATAACAACCCAGACATGCCCAGCTTATGAAAAAACAGTGCTGTGCTCCCAGTACAAAATGCCAAACACCTACTAAAACAATAGAAGATGGATGACTCATGTAATTGACCTATATAATATAATAATTGGTATCGTACTACTTAATTATTCATAAAAGACTTATAGCGAACTAATTAATTTCAAACATCTAGATGGTGGCTCAGAGAATATCAACTAGGGGTCTAAACGGATCAAATTCAAATCGAATCGAATCAGGCAATATTCGAATTCAAATTCGATTAAAAAATCCGATATTCGAATTTGATTCGATATCCGATGAACATTGAAAATTAATATTTTAATTCGAATTCGATTAAATATTCAATTCAAATTTGATAATTTAATTATTTTAGGTAATTAATAAATATATAAATTATTTATATAATTTAATTATATATTATATAAAACATTTAAATATTTTATATAAAAACTAAATAATCAGTCAAATTCGAATATTTATCAAATAAGATTGTAATTTATTTCGAATTTGATTAACTATTCGATATGAATTGAACATTCGAATTCAATTGATTATCTCGAATCTTTAATTTAAAATTAGATTTTCAAAAATCATTGACACCTCTAATATCAACGAATGAACTACAAAACTTGACTAACCAAAATGTTCGTGCCCAGTGGAGAGTGGACACGTTGTGGATGTAAAGCGTCTCCGGCAACGGCAAGCCAACGAATGCGTAAATGACGCAAAAGAGAAAGAAGCATTGACATGTTGTTGTCTTTCTAATTTCTCATCTTTCTAATCTGCTTTTTCTTCGGCTCTGATGGTCTGATTCGTCCTCTTCCACGACGATAAAAAATTGAGGGAAGGTTTTCCCTTTTTAGTGGAATCCACACACGATCGCTCATATTTTTATTCGGTGTGTGAAGCTCACGATTCCAAAGCATCAAAGCATCTGGGACCAGATTTTTCTTCTTTTTTTTCCAATCCGCCAAAGTACTTTAATGGGTTGATCCGTCTCTTTTGTTGCCCATAAGCACTGCGTGGGTTTCTAAGTGGCTTCCCTCGTAACGCAGTGAGTGTTGCATGGATGAGCATAGCTAATGCTTTTTCCTAATGGAGAATAAAATAAGTACCATAACACAGAAAAGAAAAAGAAGAATAGAATTTCTAATGGTGAACCTTCAAAAGAGGTTCCAAAGCTGCATCTCAATCAAACATTTCTGCAGCTCGATCGGTATGTTTCGGATTGGAGACCAGTTGGATACGTTGGACCCAGTACAGGCAGATTCAATGCAGATTTCTGAATTTCACTGCAGGCTTATAAATATTCAAAATGTTAAAAACCCCCATTCTATACATCAATGTCCACCCGTGAATTGGCATCAATTCCGAGCTGGCACCTACCCTAACTGTACTTTGGGCCTAAAAATTCTGACCCTGGGCTGAACCGTCATTCTCCCTAAATTTTATCTGTATATATGTTATCATATTCCATAATGGTGGATGAAATTAAAATGTGGGTCAAAATTAATTTCAAAATCTGGCTATTTACGATACTAAAATTTCATGAAAATGTTTTTTTAACGTCAACCAATTTCCCCCCCTCAATCAGGTGCTACATATTAGATCAACAAAACAACATCATACCCACAAAAAAGGAAATTGGTTTCTAGATTTAGGAAGCTCCAAATTTTCAATTTCTGAACTGAGAATATTTCGATTTTAGAATGCATGGATTTCAACTTTGGAATGAGAGATTTAGGCCATATTTGGTTCAATTCTCATTATTAATTACCCAAGATGAAATTTTAAAATGGACAAGAATGGGTAAAATAGGCAGAATGAGAAAATATTGCTATGAACCAAATGCTTTTCCTAAAAAATGAATTCTTTTTAGACTGACTAGTGACAAGTGTCCTATGTAAAAATGCTTTTGTGATTTCATAAAAATACTTTGATAAAAGTAATTTCATAAAAGTACTTTCACAAAAATGCTTAAAATGAATGTGGGCTGATTTTTCATTCTAAATGACCAAGTTTTTGAAAATTTTGCTTGATTTTGAATCTTAAAATGAAAAAAAAAATAAACAAAATCGAACAAATTTGCAAATAGTAACTCCATATAGTTAGGATAAGACATGGATGATGAAGATGATGATGATGATTACCCCTAACCAGAGGTGCAACTTGGGTGGGACCCAATTTAATGCATGCATTTATGTGTGATAACAATAGCAACCTTTCATCACCATTCCAAATAAATAAAAAGCTTAGTTTTGTTAGGCAATATGGGATGTAAGGTTTTCTCTTCACTTAATTAGATGAGAGAGACCAAGGAAGGATTAATTGATGGTGGCTCAGTTGGTAGGTTCTTAGTTCTCTAGCTGGTTGTAGTGGAAATTGGAGATCAAATCCTGCTTTTACCGGGGTTAGGGGAGTTTGGGGAGGAGCTAACCTCAAGTGTGTATCTTTATAAAGCCATAAAAAAAGGGGGGCAAAGAGAAGTTCTTGAAAAAACTTTATTAAAATAGTCAAAATTCTAAAGTAAAAGGAATCTTTCTCATATGAGCAAATTCCAAAAGGGGTACACGAAGAAAGGACTTAAAAAGATTATCATAAAATAATGTTACTTTATACTAGATAAACACAAAGTAAAAGCAATAGGGAGAAGTATGGACAAGTCCAATGTAGATTTCTGATTTCCACTGTAGAGCTATAAACATTCAAAATGTCAAAAACCCACACTATATGCGTCATACCTGCCCATGAATTAGCATCAATTCTGAACTGACACCTACCTCAAATGTTCTTTGAGCCTACAAATTCTGACACTGGGCTGAACCGTCATTCTCCCAATATTTAATTTCTTATTAAAACCACTGAATTTCTTAACATTTAGTTGGATTGTAACTCAGCCCAAAGTGCAAGAATATGGATTAGCTGTATTTGGCTGTGAGCTAGAGGGGCTATTTTACCACTACCACCACCACCACCACTGCTACTACTACTACTAATAATAATAATAAGAGAAGAGGTTTGATTAATCAAACTTCCATATGAATTTTGATGAATATCACCTAATTGGTTATCACTTTTATGATATCAGTTGATTGATTATCAATTTTTCCATTTATGTCTTTTCGGTATCATATATAGTAAAACCCTATGCTTTGAGGGAACTTCCTGTGATACCTAGCTGTATGTATCCAAAAAAAAAAGGGAAGAAGCTATGTTTGGTTTGATAAAAAAAAGGAAAACATAACGTTGAGGGAAAATTGGACTATTTGATATGAAGACTGAAGTTGTTGAGCTAACAGACTTATTGCTGCTGAGTTTGGAAGGAGTACAAATGCAAATATACAGAATGCAAAACTTTATATTTTGTATTATTTTGTATGTATTTAAGCTTGTACATATTTGCATTTGTACTGCTTCCTGAGCCTAATTGATAAAATAAGCAAATAATAAAACGTTATAAAGGTAAACAGTGATGTACCCAATTTCAGTTTCAGCAATTAAGGAGCATTAAATACTTTATTCAATCAAAGACAAAGCAATAATCGTTTCATTTCAGCCTCTTCAGCTGTTATCAAACTGGCCTTTATAGTGGAGGAATCCATCTTTTATTTTATTTTATTCTTTAATTTTTAAACAAAGAGAACGTTAGTGACTGAGAGACAGAGAGCTCGAGTACAGCTGCAATCTTGATAAATAGTGATACTCCTTTTACCCCCCTCAAGCTTAACAAGTTAAGATCACAACTCAAAAACCAGACGTACGTAGCTCCATATATAATACAACACCAGACCAGAGACTGTAATTCTGTAAAGCCGGAATTCCCCCTTGGCTTTGATAATCCACCAATGAATTATAGCTTCTCTAAGGTGGAATTCGCGTTGGATTCACGAAACTGACCAAGGATTCGAGGGGCCGGGCCGGCAATGGTTCCACGCCTCTACGTCTGATTCTATTCTCTCGTGCTGGAGGTTGTTAATGGAAGGCGTGCGATTCTGTCGGTGAAGTAGGGTCCTGCAACTGAAGCTCGGCATCATATTCCTCTCTCAAAAATTATCCAATCACATATTCATTTATCTCGTCATTTATCCTTTTTATTGTTTAATTGTTTATATATACACATACTGGGTTGATTCTGTTCTGTATCATGATATCAGGATTCCCGTACAGATACGGTCGTCTGTTTCGGCTTTTTATGTTGAAGATTCAGCATTTGATCCATCCATCACTTGAAGCTGATCAATCTCTCTGAATCGGCTTGGAGTTCTTCTCCATTTCTAGGTACGAATTCAACACTCTACCTAAATGATCTATGATTCTTGGTGATCTTTCTCTTCTTTAAGCTGATCAATATTTCTGAATCGGGATGGAGAAGATCTCCATCCATCACTGGAAGCTGCGCTTCTTCTCTGCTGGTGATCAGAGGAAGTTTTGGTTGATAGTATTAGCGCTTCTCAGCTATAGTCTCTCTTCCAATCATAGTCTCTGGTTTTTAGCTCAAATCTGCTGCGACCATGATCAGTTGATCACAGCAAATGCGAACTCTGTTTTCTTTGCTTTTATCCATCTCGTTATCTGAGACTGAAATATAAACCGTCTTCTCTTCCTTTTCTTTTCTGCCATTTGGCTTTTCTTTCGTCAAGTTATCAGACTCCGACTGGATTGAATGGTTGAACCGGTGGCGGTTTATACAGTTGGAATGAACCAACTAGCGATTGACCGGTGAAAGCAGGGATCCAATGACATTGTTTTATTTATGTATTTGTTTTTTTTTTTTCAAAATGAAACCAAAGGAACAGCTTTTTCGTTGTTCCACCTCGGTTCTGCTTCAATTCTTGAAGTGCGGACCTGACGTGGAGGTTAAATGTCCATGTGGCATCCATGCAGAGGTTCGATTTATGGATTCCACGTGAATTTGAATGAAATAGGTATGATACGGGTTGATTGGCTAATCAGTTTTCTAAGCTTAGGTATTGATGATGATACCCTTTCGGAATCGTAGTTGGACTTGCAGGTATTCCTCAAATAGTCAAAATCCACATCCACGGTCCTAATTGGTCAAATTTCTTCCGGTATCATACCCAAAATAACCTTATTTATTGAAAAATTCCCGAGGGATTGTATCAATATTCAAGTCAGTCCCTAGATTGTGTCTAACAGGTCACTATTGTTAATTGACCTTTAGTCAACAACATTGAATACACATTAAATTATTTTAAAATGGAAAAATTAATCTTTATGATAATTTTTTAATTATTTTATTCATTTTATTGAAGTGTTAGAAGAAGGAAAGGGGAAAAAAGGTTATGAAACCAAACACCGATTTAATAACCCTTCTTCCCATTTTCTTCTTTTAACACTCAGATGAAATGGGTAAAGTGGTCAAAAAATTATCATAAAGAGTAATCTTGTCATTTTGAAATTATTTAATGCATACATGATGTTATTAGGGATGGCAATTTTCCCCATCCCAACGGGGACTCGACTTCTCCGACCTAATGAAGTCGGCAATGGGGATTGTTTTGGCAGGGCGGGAATGGGGACGGGGATTAATAGGAATTCCCAATTGGGGTTGGGGTCGGGGTTGGGAATTGAGGTCCCCGCCCCAACCCAACCCCGATTATATATATATATAATGTTATTTATATTAAATATATTATTATATTATTTTTGTATATCAAAACATTATTTATAATTAGTATTTTTATTTATTTTTCAAAAAAAAATACTATTATCTAAAAATTTTGGGGATTCGGGTCCTCATGGAGAACCCATCCCTATCGGGGATCAGGGATGGAGGACAAATTTTATCCCTGATTGGGATTGGGGACGAGGATGGGGTTAATTTCAGAATCGGGGTTGGGGGCGAGGAATATGATCCCCGCCCGTTGCCATTCCTAGATGTTACATGATGGTATTGACTAATGGCCAACTAATAGTAAAGGCCTATTAGACACAATTTGAAAGTTCAAGATACTATAAAGAAACATTTAGGGTACTGTTCAGGAATTTTCCCTTATTTATTTATATTGGTTTTAAATCTTAATTTGGTATTGGACTCGATCCACATTCGATCTGATTGCATTTTAGATAAATTTTGTATTTCAATTTTGAATTGTCGGATCTGAATCCAACCCGGTCACAATCTTAGAGATGGGTAAGTTAATAGGTAAACCCAAGAGGTCTTAATCCGGACCCAGGTATAATTAATTTACACTAAAAAGTAAAAAACAACAATATAGTTTTAACCAATAAAAAAAAATCAATTGTATATTTTGGAACTATTCTGTTGATACGGGTTTGCCTCAGTCCTAACCTAACCCTCTAATCTGTCTACTTAAATTTGATCCAAGATCACTCAATAACATGTTATTTCTAAACCCAACCCAATCCTATAGGATTTAATCCAATATTGACCTTATACTTAGCATTTTAGTTATATCTTTTATATCATATTTTGAAAATATAAAAGCTATCAATTTAAGTTGAAATTTGTTTTATAGATTTTAAGATGTTACGTTTTTCCATTAATGAAAGAAAAAAAAAACTAAAATAAACATGAAAAGAAATCTCAAACTTTAAGGCCATGTTTAGTTTGAAGGAAAAAGTAGGAAAAATATGAAAACCTATATAAGATTCGTAAAGGTTTTCCTGTCTTTCCTTTCCTTTCCCTACTTTTTACTTCAAACCAAATACAGCCTAAATTTATTGAATTAAAATTAAGAAAAATACAATAATACCCTCTCTCTCTCTCTCTATGGCGAGGCCAATCAGCCAATACTCAAAACTGTCTCGGATTAAAGAATTAAAACTCTAACTCAACCCTACACCTGAATACAGCTGACCATAATTGAAGGGTAGGCTCAACTTAAATATATTAACCCAACCCATTGGCATCCCTACCCTTTCTTTTTCTTTCAATGGCTTAAGATAGAGAGTCCACTAAATCTATGTGGATTAAATGATCAATATCATTTTATTCAAGTTCAAGTTCTCAGATGGTATTAATTAGTGGGTCTAATAAATGGTGATCAATAGATTAATGATCAGGTGGGGTTACAAGATCATGCATTCTTGTCATTAGCCCCATGGATTTTCTTCCGTATCACAATATCTTCTTGGTAAAGAAAATATGCGATTTGTTATCATCAGAAGTTCAGAACTCGCAAAAGTTTTTCTTTTTATTATTTTTTTTCTTTTTCGTTTATAACAATATATGTCAGTCCCTCGGTGTGTGTTGTCTGTTGAACACGTGAATTATCAAATAGTAACCGTCAAATCCCGGCAAATCAGTGATTGTTTCCAAATATCCAAGAGATTCCATTCTCTAAAGTCTAAACAGTCTCCTTACTGCAGTTTTCAGTCAATTTTCTTGATTATTAATTAAACATATATATTACCAAAAATCGTCTTTATTTCTTATTTCCTAATATTTTCTTTTTTTGGGAAATTCATGGAGTCTGTGTCACTTCAACTCACCTTAATCAGGCCCATCTCTCTCTCTCTATTATGTCATGGGCTAAGCCCCCTTCGGCCCACTCTCTCTTTTTCTCACATATGAAGGGCTAAGCCCTCTTCGGCCCATGAAGTCCGACTCCCATTAAGGCATTAGCCCTGGTCGTCTTTATTTCTTCATTTCTTTCGCTAGTGATGATGGATGAGAAAAGTACATAAATGAAATAGAAATAAAACCAAATTAAGACAACCCCAACCTTGGCCCTTGCTTTTCTTATACGGTGTCCCCCTGACTGACACGGTTTCGATTTTTTCCTTCACGCTACTGCTTCAGATATTGCTTTGTCTCTGTCCAATTGTCCCCCCCTTTTCCAGAGGGAGTGATTTGGGCACAAGGGGTTGGGTGGTATAAAGTCGAAAACACCCTCGTCTACACCTCTACGTTTTGGGCACAAGGGATTTGGACACAAATGTCATTTTGTCTTTTTCCCAATGAGTGGTGTGTCAGTTTCATAAAAGTTTTGAACCAGGGGGAATGTTGACTTTGACTTCAGCCACCTTCCCTGTATACAAATATACAACTCACGCTTCATTGCTGACATCTGCTTGTCTGTGATGCTAGTTGGGATTTGCTGGTACCAACGAAGCGAGTCTCGTGCCTTATCTTCCCTTCATCTGTCCCCGTCTTTTTTCTATTTCAGTCTTGGACATGGGTGTTATCAATCTTCCTCATTTTTAGCTTCTTGTGGGTTTGTAACTTTGTATAAATAACGCTCATGTTATCCTATATTTTCAGGTTTTCATCAGTTTTGGGCTTCCATTCTGCAACTCTAGTCTCTTAGAACTTCTGGTAAGATACCTTTTAAGGAAAAAGAGTAAGGGTCTCTAATCACTGATTTGGTTTTGATCGCTCTTTCTCATTGTGATCTGAAATGTAATCACTTTGATTGCTTGTGTTTAGTTCTTCAAGCAGGATAAACCATGAATGCACTGGCAGCAACAAATAGAAATTTTAAGCTAGCAGCTAGGCTTTTGGGATTGGACTCGAAGCTTGAGAAATGTTTACTTATTCCATTCAGAGAGATCAAGGTGACTTTCATTGGCTTTCTTCTTTTTTTTTTTTTTTTTTTTCTCAGTAATACTGTTTATTTTTTCTAAAGTTTGGACTTTGGAAGTTCTTTTAGAGAAGAATGAGAGGTTTGAGGTTTCAAGGATATCTGACATTGTATGATTTTTCTTTTTTTAATCTACTAAAAGTATATAAATTAACTTTAGGAACTCCTGTACTTTGTAAATTGAGGTATTCAACCAAGGACACTGGGCTATGTGCACAATTGTTCCTGACAGCCCGGTTGCTTGATTCAACCAAAAATTTCACGGGACCTATATAAAAGTTACCAAGCAGAAACACTTGTCAGGAATCCCAAAACTCATTTTGAGTGTTCTATGGTTACTGATTATTTTGTAACCAGCAATTTGGTAAGGCAAAATAGCCATGAACATCATGTCTGGAGGAATACAGGCATTCCAACAAATATAACTGCTGATCTCCGATCATTTGTTCAGCATCCCTGATAATGTTTATTATTTTCTTTCTGATTTTGTTCCATTTACTGTACTTGGGCTCAATTTCAGGTTGAATGTACCATACCCAAAGATGATGGCACTTTGGCCTCTTTTGTTGGGTTCAGAGTTCAGCATGATAATGCAAGAGGTCCTATGAAAGGAGGAATTAGATACCACCCTGAGGTTGGTTACATGTGATGTTTAATTCTTGAGTGGAAAAGGAATTGTGTTCTTCTTGATTACCACTATTGAATAAATTTACATTGTGTTTAACCGTACTGGAAAGTAGGAATTCCTCTGTTATACTTTGTCTTGGACACATTAAACCTTTTCCTTTTAATAACTATAATGAGGTTTTCTTCTCTTTTGCTTCCTGGATTGGAGATACTGTACAGATTATTAAGGATCAGCCATTTGTTAGGCTTCAGTTTGAAATAATTCTGTTTGCACTGTAGGTTGACCCAGATGAAGTGAATGCTCTAGCACAGCTTATGACATGGAAGACAGCAGTGGCAAATATTCCATATGGTGGCGCAAAGGGAGGAATAGGATGTGATCCAGGGGAATTAAGCGTATCCGAGCTGGAGCGGCTTACGAGGGTTTTCACACAGAAAATTCATGATTTAATTGGAGTCCATACAGACGTTCCAGCACCTGATATGGGAACAAATCCACAGGTTTGCACTTAAGCATAGAAGATTCTTTAAGATGATGAGATTCAACTTCTCAATTTCAACTACTACATTTGCTGTGGTAGTTGGATTACAGTATGGGAATTTGGTTTATTATACCGGACCATATAGAAAATTTACTTTGGAATTTGTTCTGATTCTGCTTGTTGATTTCTGCTCTCTATGGTGGTTAAACAGACAATGGCATGGATACTGGATGAGTATTCGAAATTCCATGGCTACTCACCTGCAGTAGTGACTGGAAAACCTGTTGTAAGTATACACAGTGAAATCTTGTTCTTTTTTTATTTTATGATTAGTTTGAGACTTTGAGTACAGTATATAAAATGACAGATTTTGCCAACAACTTGCTCTGTAACTTCTACGTATTAATATTCATGAGACTTCTATGCTGATGGTTTGTCAGTCCAAGAAATTTCTCCCTCTGTAGCATGAATAATTTGTTTTCATGATTTTATAGGAGAAATTATTTTTAAGGGTTTAACCTCCTATATCAGCTTAGCACTTGCAAGCAATTCAATTTCTTTCTATTGTTTGACAAAACTTCCCTTTTTCAGGATCTTGGTGGATCTCTGGGCAGAGATGCAGCTACTGGAAGAGGGGTACTTTATGCAACACAAGCCCTCCTTCAAGAATATGGAAAAAGTATCTCTGATCAGCGATTTGTTATACAGGTCCATCCTTTTTTCCCAAGTAACCGGTTAAACTTTCACCTTTGGGAAGCCTTTTAGGCTGTTAACTGCTTCCTACCCTGTAGCCTTCCCAATTTAGGAGCTTCATTTTAATGAAATGGAGTAATCTGGGTAGTTATCTTTCTGTACTCATGAGCCTCAGTTTGGTTAAAGTTAACAGAGACAATAATGGGGAAGAGAAGATTGGGTGGGAAGGTGGAGGCTAATAGAAGAAAACAACTCTAACCATTGGATTTACATTTATTTCACATCATTCAAATGTCACATGACAATTCCTTTCTCTTCCAATGTCGCAGGGGTTTGGAAATGTAGGCTCCTGGGCAGCTGAGCTCATCAGTGAAAATGGTGGGAAGATTGTTGCAGTAAGTGATATCACAGGTGCCATAAAGAATAGCAATGGAATTGATATACCAAAACTACTCAAACATTCCAAAGAGCACCGTGGAATCAAAGGTTTCAATGGTGGAGACCCCATTGATCCCAAGTCAATACTGGTTGAGGACTGTGACGTTCTCATCCCGGCCGCCCTTGGTGGCGTAATCAACAGGTTCTTTTCATGACAACTTCGAACATAAGCATCACTTGTCATTGGAAAATACTAAGAAATTCCTTTGGGATGCATGGAAATTATATAAAGATAGCCTCAGATTTCCATGACTTCTATCTCATTATTTCTTTTGATCTGGTTGAAGGGAAAATGCAAATGAAATCAAAGCCAATTTCATTATTGAAGCAGCCAACCATCCAACCGACCCAGAGGCAGATGAGGTAAGAGAATGTGATGATTGAATGGACTTTGGGTGTTAGAAACACTTAAACAGGTAAAAGATAGAGAATGCAAATCAACTTTTCTACCATTACTTTCTCCATCTGCAGATCTTAGCAAAGAAAGGTGTAATCATTCTTCCAGACATATTCGCAAACTCAGGTGGAGTTACCGTGAGCTATTTCGAGTGGGTTCAGGTACCCATCTGTTGTCCCAGCCTCTTATACTTCGTATGTGTTTGGCATCGGTGCTGCATATACAGCACCTTTTCCTGAAAACGGTGCTGTATATGTGTTGGTTGGAAGTCTTTTTTTTGTTTGAAAACGTTGCTGCCAGGTAGGACGTTTCCTGGGGCAACAACAACACCTTCTGTTTGGTACCAGTGCTCCATATCTGTTTTCAGCACTGGTACCCATTATCCAATGCTTCTACTATGTATATATTATTTTACATCCAACGGTGAAAAAACACCCATGTCATCCTATGGTCCCAATTGTTGAATAGACTATAAAAAAAAATCAGGAAATCATGAGGAAAATGGCAAAAAATCTGAAAATTACATGGAAAAAACAGAAAAATTCATACATTAATATAGAAGAATTCTAGACAAATGGAAAAATATAGAACAAAGTATGAAAATCAGAAAATTGAATGGAATTGCATGGAAAAAACAGAATATATATATAAACTGATAAAAGGCCTAGAATAGAATGCCATAAAAATGATATAAAAAAATGGAGTAAATTGTTGAAAAATGTAATAATTTAAAAATAGCACAATTTCGCAAAAAAAAATGAACAACAATTAATAGATGTTGCATGGTTAATAAAATTACAATAAACTAATATAGAAAATTTCATAAATTAATATAGACAAATGGAAAAATATAGAACAAAGTAGGAAAATCAGAAAATTGAATAAAATTGCATGGAAAAACCAGAATATATTGGGAAAAAATAAATCACAAAAAAAATGATTAAAATACATAGAATACAATTGAAAAAAAAAAGAAATGAAATGATGTTGAAGCTCTTCAAGTGAAAAAAATGAAATGAAAAAAAAAATACACCAAAATATGAGGATCAGAATTTGCCAGTGCTGAAAAAAATGAAATGAAAAAACAATACACCAAAACATGAGGATCAGAATTTATCAATGCATTCAAAGCAGAAAAATACACTCAAAAAGCTCTGTTTTTCCAAGTGAAAGAGCAAAGTAAATGTTTCAACAATTCATCAGTGCATTCAATGAATTTTTTAATCGACCAAAGCAGGATGATCAGAATCATTTAAATACACAAAAAAAAAAACTTAGAATGCATGAAGAATGTACAGACTTCCGGTGAATGAAAAAAGAACTCTAGACCACCTGTGACCGAACAGAATGTAGAACTCTAGATCTCCAGCGACGAGATTGATTCTCTAGTGACGCATGTAGACCTCCGTTGACTGGGAAAGGAAGACAATGAATTTGACCTCCAACAGCTGAAAAATGCAGAAGAAATGTTTTAGGGTTCGTTAAAAGAGGAAACAAGCATTTTACGATATGAATGCACCATATCAATTTAAATATAATACACGTTGGATGCCACATCACTGCCACATCATGTTACTGTTGGCAGCAATGAACTCCAAATTGAAAAAACGTCAAATTCGGTGTTTCCCCATACCACACTTTCTCAATTTTTAAGGCATGGTTTGGGATAACGCTTTTTATGGAATAACAGTTTTAAACATGTCGCCGTTTTCTGGAGCACTGATTTTTCCAATGTGGCATTGATGTGTCACCATTTTCTGTAGACCGAGATTTTTTCAGCATTCTAATTGTTGGGTGGTTTATCACATTGTAGAACATCCAAGGGTTTATGTGGGATGAGGCCAAAGTGAACAATGAACTCAAGACATACATGACCAAAGGCTTCAAAGATATGAAGGAAATGTGCAAGACCCACAACTGCGATCTCCGCATGGGAGCCTTCACCCTTGGAGTTAACAGGGTTGCACGCGCAACTGTTCTCAGAGGCTGGGAAGCCTAAGTTGATTTGGATGGAGATGTTGTGACGATGAAGATTTCTCTTTCTTCTCTCCCTGACTCCACTTTTCTCCATTTTAGATCTTCACTTTGTTGTTCATTATTTTAAGAATTTTCTTCTTTCATCATCATGGTTTAAGCAGAACTCAATAAATTTTTAAGGGCAGTCAACACCATCCATTGTTCATTTTTCTGTCTGGTGCAATTTTTAGAACCACATATCTGAACATCTAAGTCGCAATCTCAAGGTCACAGATTAATAGCTAATGTCAAATTATCATTCTCTCTCAGCCATCAGAAATTCAGAGGTGCCGCCTTTAATTTTTATCCAACAGCAGCTCTTATTTAGATATCAACCATGTCAGAGAAGTCGCATAAATCTCCTTGGTTTCATTTGGCATCAAAAAGTCCCTTGCTCACCATCTCTCTCTCTCTCTCGGTCTCTCCACGCACACACGAACAGGCACTCTTATTTCCAATTTTTGTCAAATTAGTAGAATTAAATCTTCCCATGACATGAAGTATGCATAGGAGGATTCAGTAACAAATGACAGACCAGCAATACCATAATCTGTTTAATCTCTTACTGTAAATGGCATTCAATCCCATGTATCTAATGTACCTCCCCCTCTTGGGAGTCTGCATTCTTCGAGCAAAGAAATACATTTTGATATTGGCATGCGCTTCATGCTACAATTCTCTGCTCTTTTTTGGGACAAGTAGGTTATGGATGCAGGCTGAAAATTGTAATTTGTAAATGATAAAATGCTATTAAACACAACTTCTAACAATCACTGAGCATGAGTCCCCAAAAATAACATCCTCCTGCACTCCGGTGCCCCATAAAGGTGTACTGGAGTGACAGGTGAAAAAGATGAAAACCAGTAGAGAAATCACACACAAGTCTATGATCTTCCTCGCCCCCTAAAACCACCACCACGACCACCACCTCTAGGAGGGCCACCTCTTCCACCTCTTGGACCACCCCTGCCACGAAAGCCACCACCTCGTCCACCACCACGACCACCACCTCTGCCTCCCCCACGACCACCTCTACCACCAGCTTGTGGCTGTCCCCTGCAGAAAAAGTCCAACATAGAACTCACTATTCAATCAGGAATAACGAACCAGTCAACTAAGCAAGAAATAAACTCCTTCAAATGGCAATGACGCAATGTAGCTCACTAGCTTGGACACCATTACATTATAAACGAAGTCAAATAAAAAAAAATCTCCAGATTCTCAGGTAGGAATATACGGCATTCAAGTTCAACGAGATTGTAAAATATGCACGCTCTAACAGGCGTGGGTTGTTTACATAATGGAATGAAGTCTCAAGTAGATGTAGTATAAATGCAAAAAGAACCAAGAAGAATTTACATAATGTACAAGGTACAGTCTAACAATTAGATGATATTTGGGATGGTCAATACAAAGGCCTTGCTCTAACAGGCGTGGGTTGTTTACATAATGGAATGAAGTCTCAAGTAGATGTGGTATAAATGCAAAAAGAACCAAGAAGAATTTACATAATGTACAAGGTACAGTCTAACAATTAGATGATATTTGGGATGGTCAATACAAAGGCCTTGCTCCCAAAAAATAAGACAGTCAAGGCCATTCCCAAGGGAAGAGGAAAAAAGATATGGAGAATAAGCACACAAATGTACAAAAATACATATAGTCCTGCTTAGGATTTTTTTTTGGATAAATGATATAGAGATTGTATTAATATTAATGAGAATCAAGGGTGGGCGAGAAATCCTCAAACATATACAAAAAGAGTCCTGCATATGATATTGATCCAAAAAATAACCTCACTCACACCCTGGCAAAAGCGCCCCACCTTCAATCAGGAAATTGATGATACAGACTCTTCCAATGCAGCAAAATTATATTCCAAACAGTTGGGCTGACGGAATCTATAAAAATCTATACATTTTTCATCCTTTCAAGTTTCAACAAATGAATATTTCTTAGTTGATTTCAACACTTTGAAAATTCCTTACAAGCATTCTTCAATTTAGAAGCTATTTAATAGCAAGAGAAAGTGAAACAAACACATTGAAACCAATGTTGTAAAAACGGAACAGAACATCAAGCATCGAACCACTTTTAACCACTCTAACAACCATTGTTGTCAAATAACTTGAAGACTTACTTGCCTAATAGAAGGGAGCAAACACATACTTCAAGCCAAGAAACTTAATATTTTATTCACAATTATAGCGTCTACTTGCTACATAGTACACACAGATGACGTATGTAGAAAAATCAAATCAAATTCTCTGAAACATTAAAAAGTAAACTAGGTTATGAACTTATGATTTTTATTCCTTTATTTTTAATTAACAAGATATATGTTATCATGTTTCATCAAGTAAATCCTAAGCCAAGCAAACATTCTGAGAGAACAATTTAGTAGCATGAAGTTCATGACAACCAATCCTAATTTACTTGTGGGGTTCCTCCAAACCAGGAAACAACAAGCAGACAGCTTTCTGAATATGAAAGTCATACTTTGGTTGTGGAAGAAATCTTGCCAATGGCAAAAGCTTTGCCGGGTCAATGTAAAACTTGTCCCCAACAGAATATGAAGTCGCCACAATGCCTTCCAACATCTTAACTGAAAAATACTGAAATAGAAGCCAAGGATGATCAAATGGTTCAGAAAACATATACTAGGAAGTTGAATTCATGGATAAGTAAAAACTTATGGAGAAACAATGGACTCACAGACTCATTGATGGGACCGAATATTTCATCAACCTTCCCTATCTGTGTCTTGTTTTGAAGATAAATAGGGGCATTGAAGTAAGGTATTTTCTCATTTGTGAGCTTGGTTACGGCATCACCCTCACAAGCATGAAGGAATGTGGAAATCTCTGCATATCACAGATCAAATTGGCATAAACCTGAAGAAGAGAAATGGGCTAAAAGAGATCTCCTTATCTGATAGTATGAAAACAACGCTAGATCCTTGAGAGACACTAGAAGCCTGGCACTTAAAGCCATCCTTGACTAATAAAATAACAAGAGAAGATAACTAGAACAGACCTACGACTTCAGCAGGAGGTCCTTCGTCGCGAAATCCACCGCGTCCCCCGCCGCCGCCCCGGCCACCGAAACGTCCACCCCTATCCCAACCGCGGCCACCGCCTCTACCCCTGAAACCGCCGCCGCCCCTTGGAGGTCGCATGCTTGCTTCCCTGCTCTAGGATAAGAAAACCCAAAAACAGAGAGACAGAGAGAGAGAAGAGAGAAGAGAGAAGAGAGAAGAGAGAGCCTGCTGTTTACGGCTTTGAGTGAATTTCTCTTCAGCCTGGGGCACAATGGAAAGGGTTTAGGGTTTAAACGGTCGCTCTGATAATCGAACTAAATTACAAAACTATCCCTAATTGTTTTTAAAATACCTAATAAAAGAGAAGAAATTGCTACGACTTATCAAAGGAGCGTAACATCCATGCGCGTCCATCTTTACCGTTAATCTGGATTATTCTTTTTTTTTTTTCAAGCAAAAGAGTGGTGATTAAATTACCGTTAATCTGGAATTTTTTTTCAAGCAAAAGAGTGGTGATTAAATTATATTATGGGTAAAGTTGTACAAGGTAACGTGTTCATAGTAGAGTGCCTTTGATATTTACAAGCATAATAAGCTAAAAAATGAGCTAAAAGTGTTCTTAGTTCTAGTTATGTAAATGAATTTTATCCGTCCAAAATGCACTTGATCGATTCATGTACATTCCATTATTAGAAGGTTTAACTTTTTTACTATTACTTCAGCATATAAGAAAACTCGCACTGATTGGCATTGCAACGCGATAGCAACTTCTAAACCCTTGATGACTGCACGAAGCTCTGCGTCATAACTGTCAATGGCTCTACAGGCTGACCCTTGGACTGCAATGATCTGCCTACCATCAAATTTGTTGATGACAAAACCAATGCCTATGTTGTCTGCATGTTGATCATAAGATCCATCAGTGAATACTAGATAATGGTTCTCAGCTATTGAGCTTAGGGACAATGCCTTTAACTTGTGTCTTGACAGATGGTGAAACATGAATCCACTAAAGAAACAGGATTCACATCCTTGTTGTGTGCCTCCCATATCATATATAGGAATACCTGAAATTTGGACAGAAGTACAATTTGATATCTGCATTAAAAGATTGTCCAAGTGACTGAAGCCAATCCGAAATAAGTTGTTGAAGGTGTTCACCATTCACTATACTAGGGTGTATACCAAGTTGGGCTTGACACCAAACAGCTCTTTCAAAGTCACATTTGAAAAATAGATGTGAAAAGCTCTCTTCTTCATGATTGCAAAAAATGCATAATACCTTTGGTTTGGGACAGGGTCAGACTTGATTATTTGTGTTTTGTTGAGAATTGTGACCTAGGCAAGACTTAGAGAAAATTAGAGTGAAAGGGTCGGGTCTGGTTCAGGACAGGGTGGACAAGTCCCAACTTATTAAGTTATTATTAATCGACTCTATGGAACAAGTGTTTTTCACCAAAATAATCATATATATCATCTATAAAATTAATAAATGTACCCTTATAGACAACGAAATATAACAAAAATTACAAGAATGTGCTTTTCATGTGATAGTTTCAGATGATGATGATAATAATAATAATATATATATCAAAATTTTTTCATAATTTTTTATATTTCTATGTATATAAAAATAATTCTTATTTACTATATATTTTTTTTGTTTAATAAGATGAATATATAATATTAAATATATTCAAAATGTTTTCTGCAAATTTAAGTTTTTTTTTTTAATTTTATTATTTAATGGCACAATTGACTCAAAATTTTGAATTGTTGGCATGCCACCAATAAAAAACAATTTCGTTTTTGCATAGTTTTAAATTTTATATTTTATTTTTATTATTAATATAAATATTTTGCTTATCACACTTATTTTTCTTTAATATGATTAATATAAAATATTACATATGTTCCCAAATTTTTTCTATAAAATTTTTATGTTTTTTTTATAATTTTTGCATCTTTTATCTTTTTAATTTTTATTATTTAATTATAACACCAATTGTTAACACATTGGACCCAAAAAGGTTGAATTGTTAACTTGCCACCGTGTATAGGAAAAAATCATTTTTTAGGTTGGCTTTAAATTTTTTATTTCATTTCATCATCAATAAAAACAATTCTTGCTTATCACACTTACTTTTCTTTAATATGATTAATAGAAAATATTATAGATGTGCTCAATTTTTTGTGTTTTTTTTATCTATTTCTATTTTAAAAAAATATATTTTTAACTTTGACATCATGAATTGACCATTTTGACTTGGATAGTTGAATGTCTTACCCACCATTTGGATGAAGGAGTAATTTTTGTTCCTTGATCGGTTTTACAAAACATGGGTCTTATTCTTAATGTCTTGTATTGTTAAAGTATTAAATTTAGGTCTAATTAATAAAATTTATTACTGAAAAATAAAACCTTAAAATCTGGGATTTCATAAAAAAAAGAAAGAGTGGGAGTTGTTAGTGGTCATTTGATAACAGCTGAAGCTCCTGAACTAAATACTTATTGCTTTCTTTTTTAGCTGATAAATTATTTAAATAATAAAAAATTGAAGGACACTTTGATTTTCCCAACTTCAGTTCCAACATTAACAAGCCCACAACATCCAGCAATAAACTTTTCAATTCAGCATATTCAGCGTTTTACCAAAGTCTAAATGCAAACCACATAACCAAAACTGATGTAATCAGTTTGGTTAGTTTGGTTCTATCACGTAGGCCCCACCCTTTGACACCTCTACAGACCCTAGATTGGGAATTTGTAGGTTGGGCTAAGAATGATCACCCCAATGGACCATTATAGGGCCCTCATAATGAACCATGGGGCAGATCTGTCTTCACCCGTTCTCACAGCCCTTATAGCCGTGCATTAAGAATGAACCATGCGGCAGATCTGTCTTCACCCGTTCTCACAGCCCTTATAGCCGTGCATTAGGAATGAACCATGGGGCAAATCTGTCTTCACCCGTTCTCACAGCTCTTATAGCCGTACATTAGGAATGTAATATAACAAATACAAACACGAAAATCTTCCCGACTATGAAGATGGTGTGAGGACAAAATCCGAATTCCTCACTTTTTTTTTTCCTGTCAGATGTCTCCCAAGAGACAATTCATCACCTCAATGCTTACACGGACTTCCTCCTCTAATTTTTTACACATTGTTATTTATTTATAAATGTAATTATTAATTCAAAAGTATAAAAAGTCATAATAAGGACCCTCTAATGTCTTAATTATCTGAGAAAATCTATCATTACCCTGCCTAAAATTATTATTATTGCTCTCCACCCATTAAAAAAGTCAATATTTGTGACAGCACCCCTTCCCCAATCCCAACCCAATTAAATCCCTCATTTTCTCTTAAAATTTTTTAAACCCCTTTTGACGCTCTCTAATAAAAGAGAGATATAAATCAGATGAATTAGATTTGGATTGGATTGGGTTATGGGCCAACTAAAGGCCAGCCCTAAACATGGGCCTCAACCTGGACCCAAATTATGTCAAAACCCCAATTTATCCATTCAAAAACTAACCAAAATTTTATTCAACCCAAGCATTGCATCATGAATTTATTTGCTAATAATAAAAGAATCATGAGATATCTTTGCATGTTGTTTAACGCGTCTACAACTTTTTTAAGACAAAACCAGCAAATACCAATTAAGAAAAGGGACTCTCTTCTCTTGGGTAGTTTAGGTGAATGGCGCAGTGGTGTGAGAGCAAAGGTGAACCCAATTGCTCCTGCAAGTTGAGTTGCCACCATGTGTTTGAGAAAAAGAATCCCATGATCAATTGGGGACCCCCCAATTTCCATTTGATACTGCGGCCACTTCAGCCCAAAAATGGAGGATATATATGCAGGCTCCACATGGCCATCACAAACCAAATGCACCACTTGATGGGTAACATGTACACAGGGAAAACAAAAAAGTAGAGCCCATGATCATGGATGAATGGAACATATATCCTTGTGGAGAGGGGAGAGGGAGGGGAGGTTATGGTTATCTGCTTGTGTATGGCTCCCCATGGCCCCAGCCATCCTTTTTAGACTTTCTTCTTGTGTTGTGTAAGGAACCTTCTTTCATGACTTTTTTTTTTAGAAAAGGACTATTATTATTAGGGTAATGACAAAGTTGGGTCCTCTGAGTCCACAATCAGACCAAATTGACCATGTATCTGTGTCTCACCAAATTTACAATCTCTCTTCAAATAAAGAAGTTGTTATTGTATGAGGTATTCAGGCAATGTGATAATAAGATTCCATTGCTGTCGGGTTGAAACATAACAAGCCATGTTACCCGACCTCGATTGGCCTCTTCAACAGCATTGGTTATCGTATTGTCTCAGGTCCCTTTTACTGTGATGTTTGCCTTGAAATTACATTTTATAAGTGAGTCTCCAAAGAAGTTATCTCAACTCTTCAAGTAATGTGGCTCTGATTTGCTCCGTATCTTATGCATTAGACTTGTCTCAATTGAATTACTACTGTATTTGGAACTAGGAAATTTATTATTTATCCCATTTCAAGCAAGGAAAAAGCTATTTTTGAGACATGCATGGATTCTGCTCCTTGGTATCCAGTATGGAGAGATGTGGGTCTCAGTGAATATCTCAGTTCCATATGTCTTTATCTTCAATGTGCATGAATAATGTTCTTTTTTTTTCCTTAATCAGCAGCTGCTTGAACACAAAATCTAGTGGGTCAGAGAATCCAATCCACATCATTCAAGCCGGCTTGATCCAAATGAGAGCATGTCTGGAGTGCACAGCCCGTTGATGAGCCAACTGCCAACCCCCATGTGTATGCTTGTAGTAATCGAATTGTGAACTTCTCATAGCAGTAGTACTTCAAGCATCAAGAACATTGAGAAATATATTTCTGTTGCATGGACTCAGTTTTCAGCATCCCCATTTTGATTCTCTTTAGTCTTTATTAATTCTTAACCATTTTGAATGCGTATGGTTTCTCATGTGGCCATGAACTATTGCCTCCACTCCAAGAATGACCCAAAGACACAGCCAGAGAGAGCCTCAGATATAGAAAAGCCCCTGACAAATAATAGCTTTGAAAAATTAATCTACAAGAAAAACCTTTTAATATTCAATCCTTCCATGTACAAATGATGGATTTATTTTTATGGTAGATGATCAACTCTTTAAACTTCTAAAGCTTACTTAAACTTCAAATTTCACCAGATTCCTTGACATTTCACGCAATTAGAGAGTCCTTAGATTAAACAAATGAGTCTATAGAAAACTGGGTAGAGCTCTAAACCAATTGTCTATGCATTGATAAGGAAAAACAGAAGGATTACAACCTGTTGGGTACACCAACCAAAGTTGCACGCGTCCTCTACAGAGCAAAAGCTTGTGTTGACAGGAGGGTTTGGGACTTTGAGAGCTAGCCCTCTTATTTACTCTTAGAATGAACTAAACTGGATCATTTGTTTAATTAATTAATTAATCAAATGGGGTAATAGCTAATATTCATCTGGATTGGGATTCTGTCAAGGTTATCTTATTATGTACTTCTGTTCCATATTATATTAAATGCATTGCATAATATATATATATACCATTGTTTTCTTCCTCTGCTTCTTCCTATTTCCAATCTCTTATGCTTCCATTTATTTATATTATAAACATGCCGTGTAAGAATTCCACTAACCAGCTTTCAAGTTTTTATTATATCATTGTTGTTGTGGTGGTGGTGGTGATTCTGCTTCTGTTGAGTGTTGGTTGGTAAGCAACTTTCGGTTTCAATTTTCAAAAGTCTGAACTTCGAAGCATTGCTTCTGTTATTCCATCAACCATAAAAGAAGGCGTTATCATTTATCAACCCTCTACGAGGAGTTACTGTTAACAGTCTTTTTCTGGGTTACAGTTACAGACTGAAGTGGAATAATACTTGATCATTTCCCACAAAAGAAGGAAAAAGAAAAAAACATTCCATCATTTGCTTCCCATTTTTTGCGCTTGTACTGTTGGCTTTCCAGCTAATATTTCTTTCTTCTTCTTTTTTCCCAGTTGCTATTTGATGGATTATCTTCTTTGTTCTGTTGTCTTCTTCTGGCTTGATCTTCACAGTAAAAATGGTTGAGGATAGAAGAGGAGGGTAGGATGGTCATTTAAGGAAACATGAACTGTTGGTTGTCCTAATTCCGAAGGATTGCTTCTCATAAAAACTGGAGAAACAGAGGTTTTGTGGAGAACTCTAAGGCTTGTTTGAGAGAGCCTCGGTTTTATGAATTTTCAATCACCCGACATTTTGTTAACCCTTTAAACTTGCCATTATTTATTTCTCTCCTTTTGTTCCCCAAATTTCTGTTGGGTGTCTTCACAATTAGAAGCCACCCGGGAAAGGTGGGTCTTCATTAGTCTTTGTTTTTTCGTTTGGAAGACATCGAAATTCAGTTCTTGAATTTAGTGTTGAATATTTGATGTTAACTGTTCTCAATGAGTTATGAGTTATGACTGATTTTGATGAATGTTAGCTGTACCCAACCTCAATCAGGTGTTATAGTGTTTTTTTTTTTTTTTAATTATTATTCTCCCGTCGCAGATTTGGTCAGTGCTACTAGAACCAGAATACAATCTGATACTTCTTTTATGTATATTCATTCTTGTTAATTAAATTCTTCTGGTAATGAAATGGGATGTTTGTAATCAGTCCTGTTCAAGAATATTTCATGAAGGTTTCGTTCTGCAAGTTCCACTGTCCTTCATTCATTTGCTTCTGCAAACCCTCTCCTCAGCTTCTCTGTCCTTCCCCATTGAAGTTAGAAGACACCCCACATGTTCCTTCACCTTTATCTCCAGTCCCTGTTACTGTGGTCCAGTTCTGTGATAAAACGATTGAGCCCAGTAAGGAGAGCTTAGATGGAAAACAACAAGTTGAGAGTTATCTTAAAAGCAGCCTCAAGAGGCCATACTCGGAACCAGCTGGTGTACCGAAAGAGGTTGTTAAGGCTAAAGTGAAGTGGGTGGATTTCTTTGGGAAAGAGCTGCTAGAGATCAAGGAATTTGAACCCAGGTTGGTTTAATCTCCTCTTTTCTCTTGAATATCTCAGGTTTATTATTCTCTCGATTGATTTCCCCTTGATGGATTTTTCATTTCTTTTCATGGATTTCTTTTACTGTTCTTCTGCATCATATTTTCTTTCGTTTTTTTTTTGGGTGGAAAGATGATAAACGCTCATTTCAGCTTGAAAAATCTTTCACGTTATTAATGATTGGGGGGCAAGTGATTTAGTGCAGAATAGATACTTAAGAAAGGAATCAAAATGATCATAATTGGATTCTTCATCTTTGAACGGGAAAGTATTGTGAAATATGTAATTCAATGTTCTTCAAAAAAAAAATGTAATTCAATGTTGTGGTAAGTCTGATCTCTAATGGAAACCCATTTAACATACTTCAATGGTTTTTTTTTTCTCATTAGTAATCCAATGCATTTATATTTGAACAGGTAAATCCATAAAAGCATAGCAGCGAAAAAACAGAAATGCATTAACAAATTTACATTTGATGAAAATATTGAACATAAGAACCAGAAAAGGGTTTAGGTGATGATATCCTTGAAATAAAGGTGCAGAATGAACTCTTTCATGGCTATAGAAATTACTACCAGGTTCACATTGGTTTCTCTTCGGATATATCTTGAATGACAGATTTTTCTGTACAAATATTCTTTGAGCTGTTGTTCTTTTATTTGAAAAAAAGACTAGTGGTTAACTTAGAACAGATGAGTGCTCTGATTTATTCGATGCCTCAAGGTCAGACCTAACCTCGTCCGAGGATTTACAGCACTTTAGAGCTAAAGATGTAGAAGTCACCAAATCTTACAACTACTTAGTTGGGTAGTTCTGCTTTTTGGTTCATAATGCAAAAATTGGTTTACTGGAGGAACATTAATATGCCGATTTGGAATAAATTGAAACTTGTATCAACTAAGATTAATTGAACAGTTGTGACCTAAGCTTGATAATTTGATGCAATGGAATATCTCTAATGTGATGCCTATGTAAATGGTAGACTGGAAAAGAGATCTACTCTCAAACTTGCTAAAGAAGGATAAATTTAATCATGGGATTAGAATATTATATAAACAATTACACCAAAACAGGAGAGGCTTCCTGACAAGGTATCAGCTGCTGAAAATAAACCTGTCATAGAAACTGATTATTTCTAGTTGCAATAGATCTTGACAATTTCTAGCTACAGGTACAGATACTGTTGTCCAGTTCTACCTTCTCCATGCATCCAGAGAACTATGGGCAGTGTTTGAAGATGTGAGCATTGTTCCAGAGTTCATATATGCTTGTCAGTTGTCACAGATACTGTTGTCCAGTTCTACCTTCTCCATGAATCCAGAGAACTTTGGGCAGTGTTTGAAGATGTGAACATTGTTCCAGAGTTCATATATGCTTGTCAGTTGTCACTAGCTATCATTTGACTCCTTTACATTATGATCATCTTCCATGAGCTTAAGGGACTATATGGAACCAGTTCTAGCTTTTGTATTTCCAACTAGCTTGGTTTTTTGTATAGATGAGCAGTTTCACCCAATATTGTTTAGGGAGTTGGGAATTACAACCATCCACACTTTCCCCTTATGCTTAGTTTGGAAGGAGTACAAATATGTACAGTGCAAGTACATACAAAATAAGACAAAATTACAAGGTTTTACACTCTACATATTTGTATTTGTACTCCTTCCAAACTGAGCCTTAAGTCATATTGCCTGGAGTTTTTTACTGCACTCCTCATCAGCAAGTTGGAACTATGAAATTCTGCTAGACTACTTACCTTATATGTTCACTCTCAAAAATTGTTTATGTTGTTACATCTCATGAATACCAGCAACTTTAAAATTGATTATGATATGCTAAATGCATTGACGACCTGAAATTTTGCAATTGATGCAGAAGTGATGGAACAGCATAGTATTATTTGTACTAATATATCAAGCTTCACTATTTGACACGGGAATAAACATTAAGGGTGCATTATTATTTGTGTCGATAAACTTCTTTAGCCCACAAGAAAGAAAACTGATAAAATCCTAATAAAGAACTTTAACATTTTATTCAAGGTTAATTTCATGCTGTTACAATGCTATATTTATGTAACTCTTGATTCTGTAAAAGATGACATGACTCCCACTTCCTTCACCAATCTTATTTCCCCTATTAAGACGACTATTTCAGCATGTCTTCATGAATAATGTCTAGCAATCTGGAGATGTGTGTGAAGATCTTCAGTCATGCTTACCTCTCATGTCAATGACTTGCATATAGTGTGAACATACGAATTTGATCACAAGATTTAAAATGCCACTGCCATAGAGCCACTCTCCATCTGCAAATGGATCCACTCATGTGTGCAACTTATAATGATGACTAGAACTACTTACCTAACCAGCATAGACAATTAAATGAATCTAGCGTCAATTATACTGGTACATACTGCCATCTGATTTCCTTTTATTGCTTGGTCTGTTCTTTGTTCAGTGAATCAGGAGATTCGGATGACGAAGGCAATGGTACTCGGGGCTGTGTTTGTGTCATTCAGTGAATAATTTTATTCCATTAGTCCCCGTTAACGCCCAGAGCAGCTACGGCGTCAACAGGGAATTGGGCCCTACCCTCCTGCATACGGCTGTCTCTGGGTCCAGTCTCTTTGTTTATCTCAATTCTCAACTTGATTTTTTTGGAGATTACATTTAAAATGCTTCATCAAACTTGGATTCCTCCATTTTTCACATTTTCTCTTTTGCTGGCTAGCCGCTATCTGAATTTAGAATCGCAAAATGGCATCTCTACAAGATTTTTTTTTCTTTTTTTTTTGTTAGTTATTGTCTTTGATTTTTCTAAGAATTCTAATTTCATTAGTCAGAATTTGCAAAATTCCACACCCCCTCCAAATCAAAATTAATGAACAAAACTGTTTAGAATTTCATCTGTCGTGCTTCGTTCCGTAAGATTAGCTGATCTAGATCTCAAGACTTGTTCTAACTTCTAAGTGGCCATTTGCTTCTTGTGAAGATTCTGCTTTACCCACCAGTTTGCCATTAGATGTACCTATATATTTGTAATCAAAGGAAAAAAAAAAAGACAAATTGCACTGAATTGCAGGTTTTATCCTCGTCAAGGTTCAAAATATTGACACAGGCCGATATGCTGATAGGGCGTCTCAGTACTTTTTTTTAGGTTTTATTTATTTTTTTCGAAACCGGTTCAGAAGGATCAGTTTAAAGCCTGGCTACCCTGTAAACCAGTGTCTGACCCGATACAACCCCTGGAGAGGCGTATCGATAAGCCATCGGCACGATACAGGCCGATACATATCGATACTTTAAACCTTGATCCTCATGAAACATTGTGGTTGTGTAGAGTTCCTTGTTAACGTAGTTTAACAGAACCTAACCTGATCCACAATTCTACTAAAATTCAGAACCGCTAGTCCTATTCTTGAAAGGAATATATACATTCACTGTTTCACTATCACGCATGTTCATGTCCAGGATCTTTACTCTTTAGTCTTTTTACATGCAGTTTGGTTGCTTTGCGGTGTGTCAAGATATTATGAACGAGACTCTATTGGGGATTGGGAATAAAATAACAAGCAGGCTGAGTTTAAATTATACGTTTTGGAGCAAACTAATGTTGGAGGTCTGGGTATGACCACACTCGATCTGGATCCAAATCAATACCAACAATCCTTGGAATAAAGCATGGATTTACACTTCTTGTCAATGCAAAGAAGTCTTTAACTTCCAAAACTGCATGCTTTATGCTGCTAGTAGCTTTAAGATATAGCATGTAACCTTGTATTTGTTATCACAAGACCTCATCCAAATTGAGCAGTGGTCTCAACTCTCAACCCATAAGGCTCCCTACAAAGAGGGCACAAGATCAGTTGAAACTCAAAATGATCGAATGGGAGAGCATTACCAACAAACAAAAGAACGTAAAAGCCTTCCATCATTTGTAAACAAAAACTAAAGTTCAGCAGCTTCAGCATCATGTTTCTTAGACTGTATTTCGCTCTCCTGAAAGAAAGGCCAACGGAGCAACTGCACCAACTTACTAGTGACAGGCTTGGACTCCTGTTTTTCTGACCTTCTGTTGCAAAGTAAATGATAATCATGCTTCAAATGAGGATTGACAACTCTTTCCTGCAAAATGAAATATTTTAGTGTAAGCGATCAGCCAAATTTCTAGAATATGTTCAGAATCAGATAAACACTGTACCTTGAAAACTTCAAATGGGCAGAAATTGGTGTTATAACAACCCTAACCACACAGAAACTCAACATCAATCTCCTGAATGGGTAGTATCAGTAAGCCTAAAGTTGCAAAGATACACATTTACAAACAGAAATTATGTTACTGCAAACACAAGAATTTTGTGCATGTGTATAAGCATCATTGCATGAACATTTGAGAGAGAGAGAGAGATCCATTAATTATATAAAAAATCATAAGAATATTTCCATCTTTTAGGCTTTCCCATAAGAAATATATATATATATATATATATATTTGACCTTCAGTTTCAAGATGTGTATTAAAAATTTCAAATTCGAATTAACTCATATACAATTGTTCTTTGCTTATAAAGATGGGCATTAACTAAAAGGCTTTTTTAAAAAGTTTTAAACAACACAAATAAGGATTTAGTTTCAATAAGATGTTTTAAAATCAAAATCCCTTCAAAAACATTAATAAGGAAATAGTGAGGCAAGGACTTGATTCCTAGATGATTTGGTTCAAATTGCATACTGGAAAATCAAAAAAGAAAATCAAGAATAGAATAGTAAGATACTAAGTTCAAGTAATAATCGATTGAATATTTCTCTGACTAGAGCTTACCGGCATTGGAACTGGAACTTCATTATGTAGTACTTGTACAAAATAATTGCTTGAATTGTTGGCCGGACAGCTGTACAATACCAGCATATTGTTCCCAGTAAAAGGTGCTACTATACTGCCCCTCCAACTTCTTTTCTGAGGAGGCTTTGGTGGTAGTTGCAGAGCTTCCTCCCTTTGTATTTGTTCAAATTCTGGAACATTGAGCCAATAACCATTAGGCAGACAGAGAGATGAAGCATATCCAAATAAAGGGAGTATAGATTAATTTTTTTCTCCAAATAGACAAACTCACAAGCTGCATGTAAGCATGTTAATATGCATTGTGGCAAGTCACAAAAATCATATGCTAGGGAGTCAGAAATGTCAAAGATGAAACCCTACCAGATCCTTCAAGAAAGAGTCCAAGAAGACAAGAGAATGGCACCACAGTCTCAGCATGTGCAAACCGAAGTCTTGCCTTCTCATAGGTGCCTGGAGCTCGGTGTTCTGGAAAGAGGAACAAAAGCAAAGGGAAATATAAGCCAAACCATGGTGTCCTAAACATGAGGCATTTGCATCTTCATAACGTCTAGCATTTTTAATATAAGTGGGAAGATATAGTAAAGGTAATGCTATCTTGTTTTTCTTTATAAACGTAAGGGTGTAACTACTTGTACACCTCTGTTTATAAATTTCTAATAAGCCAAACCATGGTGTCCTAAACATGAGGCATTTGCATCTTCATAACGTCTAGCATTTTTAATATAAGTGGGAATATATAGCAAAGGTAATGCTATCTTGTTTTTCTTTATAAACGTAAGGGTGTAACTACTTGTACACCTCTGTTTATAAATTTCTAATAATTTTTTTCTGTTGCCTATAAAAAAAAAAAAAAAAAAACATACAGCATTTGTTGCAAACTTGCAACTCCAGACATTATTTCTTTCTTTTTCCATGCAAGACATTCCATCAATGACTTGTAAGAGAAACTACAATGATGAGAGAGAGAGAGAGAGTATCTCCAATTGTTCTCAGAAGAACCATGTCCCCTTCTAGTTTGAAGCATGGTTCAAACTATTGATACGCCTCTGCATATCAGCAGAGGCGTATCGGTACTTAGAAACACACGGAAATACATTTTTTTAGTTTTTTTTTTTCAAATTTTGGTTTTTGGGGAGCTAAAAATGGTTTTTTTATAAAAAAAAAGGGTGGAGTGTTTCGGGACCCAAAAGATACGATACAATACGCCCGATACGGGGCGTATCGTATCGATTTTTTGAACCTTCGTTTGAAGAAAGCAATCATTCAATACTCAAAAATTTAGTTGCAATCAGAGGCAGTAAATGAATAACATAGGAAACATTTCAAATTTCTTAAATGATTATTCAGACCCCACATCACTAAGTTCAGACCTGTGTCCAACATATCCCACAAGACAACAATGCAGAGAAAATGATATGAAATAGAGAAGTTCAAAATTTTCCAAAAGGGACCAAGTAATTTGTTTAGTTTTCAACAAGATGTAAATCGATCTTACCTTCATGATCCTTAATAGCTTGCTCCATGGATTGAACAACATCTTGAAGCAATGGTACTCCCATGCGATAATTTATTGATTCACCATAACCCTTCAGTATAAACACCTCTAAATCATCTGTCCACTCTAGCAAAGCTACCTGAATAAGAAACAAGGAAACTGAGATTGATCTGGCACCACAAAAAACAACCCTGGATGAAGCTAAAATATCAAACCAAGTAGCAATTGGGAAGGATATTGCATGTGCAAATTAAAGAATAACTACATAGTATGGTAATGGTGGAATGCATAATGGAAAATATAAACCGGAAACAAAAACCTAAAAGGAAGGGCAAAGTAGGAACTGAAATGAATGAGACGAAGAAAAGACTGCCAAACCCTCTCTTCCAGATAAAGGTAATATAACACAATATGAAGGCAACATGAATATCAAAAAGTAATAAGAAAATTAAAGATGAAAAATGAGTTAATTGTTTCTCAACATTTAACAATTCACCAAACTAAAATTAGTAATGGCCTCATTTATCTAGTGATAAGTAATACATGAACAACATAACCAGAAAGATAACACAAAAGCATAAGAAGTACAGAGATTAAAAAAAAAAAGACGGCATTTTCCAAAAAAAAATAGCTTCCATATCCCAACCATGGATGGGGCCAAAAAAGAACCTCACCAACAAAAGAGGAACACATCCATGAATTTTTCAAAAGAGAGCAAAAGATGCCCATTGGATGAAGATGTGGATGGGTTCATGATGGATGGTAGGGCTGTTCATAAGAAGGCCCAACTTGACCAAACTGACCAACCCGGACCGACCCAACCCGAGTCGGCCGGGTTTTCATCAGCACCGGTCGGTTTCGGGTTGTACAAATTCATAAACCGATGGTTTGGGTCGGTTTCGGTTTTCACACCGAACCGACTTAGTTCCTACTTAACTAAAAACTGAAATATCTGAAAATATATATTCCAATATCTATATCTAAAAAATATATATTATGAAAAATGTCAGATATATATTTCCAGAAAATATATATTCCAATATATTTGTATGTATATTTTTGTTTATATATATATATATATATATTTCTAAAATACATTATACATATTTCAGTTTTAAATATATTTCCAGAAAACTAGGTGGCCATGGGGGCCATGGATGAACTTAGAGCCGAAACCGACCCAAACCGATCCAACCCGACTCAAACCGACCAGGCCGGTTTTGCTTAACACTGGGTCGGTTTCAGTTTCCATCTCAGGTAACCCGACCAGGTCGGGTCGGTTGGAAAAACCTCAGTAAACCGACCCAACCCGACCCGTGAACAGCCCTAATGGATGGCATAAAGAAAGGAAATAATACGACAAGAGGAAGATGAGGAAGGCATACAACTGGAAGAAGTTTTGAATGTTTTTACAACCTAGTCAAGTATAAGGAAACACCTGCATTCAAACTAAAACATCACAATTAGCCCAATTAAGTCAAAATAAATTATCCAGATTACAAACTTGGAACCCCACAACTTCCCCAAGCTTGTCCCCAAAGTGCTCTTTGTCAACTTGTCTAAATTAAATTTTGGCAATACCAAAACCCATTCTTCCACAGATTTGCTAACAGCCGCCACCAACCTATCAAGATTCCATGCTTTGTCTTCAAAAACTCTTTTGTTTCATTCTTCATTCTCAGATCAGATCAAATGTTTCCAAATTTGTCTCTTGCAACATCACCGCACAATCCCCTCACATTCCATGATACCAATTTCATTTTTTGGCTTTTTGCTTTCAGTCCTCTCCTTCAACAACCTCCCTTCACTCTTCATCGACAATTCCTTTGTCCCCCCCCCTTCTCCTTCCCATACCTCAACCCCTTCCCCAATTGCTCTCTTTTTATTATATTCTTCCCTTCAATCTTTTTTGAAGTGTTTATTGCCTTTAGGGGTGGCAATTTTCCCCATCCCCGACCCAATGGGGTCGGATATGGGGGGGTACTTTGGCGGGGTCAGGGTCAGGGATGGGGCTATCCCTGAATCCCCGATCGGATTCGGGGACACGGATGGTGAATGCAATTCCCGCCCCACCCCAGACCTGATTAATATATATAAATTATATGTAATATAATATTATATATTATATATTATTTATATAATATTTATATTATTATATTATTATTCATTTTTTTAAATATTAAAACTTAAAAAACACTCGACACTTCGAGTCTTCGACAGACAGAGAACTCTGAAGTATGAACCCTAGTCTTCTTCTTCCTTCGTCTTCATTGCCGACTCGCCATTCGCCGTCACTGTCGCAACTCACCTGTCGGACATCGGACGTCTATCATCGCCGACTACCATTCTACCACTCGACAGAGGACAGAGATACTCAAACAAGAAAGAACTGAAAGTCTAAAAACTAAAACTCAGTTCTTCAATCTTCCTTCGTCTATTGTCGTTGTCCACCGCCGCTCATCTTGTACCTCAATTTTTACTTTTTAGTAGTGTAAACTTCCAATCTAATACCTTGTCTAGAACTAGGAGTCTGGATTTGCAGTGACCCTCGGGGATTTGGGTCTCCAACGGGGAGTTCATCCCCATCGAGGTCGGGGATGGAGGAGGTTTCCTTTCCTTGACGGGGATGGGGGGTGATTTGGGGGTCGAGGTCGGGGATGGGGAATGTAATCCCCGCCCCGAACCCACCCCGTTGCCATTCCTAATTGCCTTCCTCACCCCCCACAGAAGGAAAGGACTGAGCGGCTTCCCAATCACCACCTGTCTGTTCACTAGCCGATCAATACCCACCCTCCCCTTCTCAGTTTTATCTGTAACCTCTTTAGCTTTGACCTCCTCTGTCTCCTCATCACCCTCCCTCATATCCTCTTCGTACTCCTCCTGACCTTCCATTTCTCTCCTTTCAACTAGGGTTGAGCATTCGGTTTATTTGGTTAAAAACCAAACCAAATAAACCGAATTTTTAAAAACCAAACTTATAAAATATAAAACCGAAACCGAAATCAAATTTTTCGGTTCGGTTTTCTATTAAAACCGAATTTTATTAATATTATACTAATACATATTATATTATATATATATATATTAATATATTTATGTATATTATATATATTATATATTATATACATATTATAATATATTATGTTTTACATATTAATAATATACATTATATTATGTATATAATAAATTCCGATTAATTCAGTTTTTTCGGTTAATCGAACTTCTAATCCTGAAAACTGAAACCAAAACCGATTTTTTTTTAAATCGAACCGACAAAAACCAAGAAACAAACCAAACTAACTAAAACCAAAAATTTTGGTTTTAACCGAACAATGCTCACCCCTACTTTCAACCCCAGCCTCTTTAACTATCTGCACCACCATCCTTCTCTTTCTGTTGATCCTCCCTAGATCTTTTCCTCTTCAGTCTACTACACCCCCCCCATCCACTCCATCATGCCTAGTCCCCTCAAAATCTCCTCCCTATCAGAGCCTCCCAAGCCAGTTGAAGGTGGAGAACCTGTGCTTACCTTACTGTTCAATTGAGCAATAATTTCCAGAGTTTTTTCTCCAGTGATTTTACTGTCTAGCTCACCATCGTTGCTCCAGTTTTTGCTCTATTCACTGTGATTCCATCAAAATATTCTCCTTCCCCTTGAACTCTCTTTCCATCCTCGGCTATGTTGTCAATCAATTGAGCCCCAGCCAATGAAACACTCTGGCATGGTGAATACCTCTCTTTGTTCTTATCCTTGCTTCGATCCCTCTATGGCGATATTTCTTCTCCAACCTCTATACTCTCAGATTGCTGCAACCCTTCCTGACAACATGATTTAGATGTTGGTTTGTTCATCTTCCTTCCCTCTGTAACCACTATTTTCCTGTCATTTTCAAACTTCATTACTACCCAGACCCAATCATTATTAGCTTCTCCTATGGAACCCCCTTCCCAAAAATACCCTTCACCACTTGAAACCACTTAATTTGGTTACCCCCCCCCTTAAATTCTTTAGCTAATTTCTTAAAGTGATGGTCCCTGCTCCTATTTTTAGTCTTAAGCTTACCTCCCATCACCTGTTTTCCATCTCCCCCCTTCCCCCATCACACCCGCTCACCTGACTTCTGATCTTCCTCCCGTTTGCCTGCCTCACCTGCAACATGTCCCCCCCTAGATGCTGAAACTTGTTACTTATAAACTTCTAGTTTATGGATATGTGTACTTCCTATCAATTTAATTTGGCATATTATATGTTGTTTTCATCAACTTACAAACTTTAATTAAATATTGCCAGTATAGTCTCTTACCGCTCCTCCAACTCCTAATGCTCCTAGATTACCAAGACTAAACCCATCAATATTGAATTTCAAACTACCCCAATCAGGTGCTCTCCATTCCTTATTTCTTTGTTTTTTTTTTTTCTTTTTTTTATAAGCCACAACAATTTTCCAGCCTCTAATCAGTTCATCCATGGTGACACCTTTAAATCCATTGCTCACCAAGACCCAATGTGCTATTCTTACCATTGTGAGATCTATCAAGTGCTTCACCTTCAAAGATTCTAGCACTCCTCTCCCCACCCAATCCCCATAAAAAGCTGCCCTTGTATAATGCCATAATATTTTTTGCCTCCTTGCATGACAAGTTATCAAGCTAGTAGAAAACAAGGTCCATGACATTGGATGGAGCTAACCAACTGCTCCTCAAGAAAAGGAAGAAGTGGTCCAATACTTGAGTAGCAAACTGACAAGTCAAGAGAAGATGGTTGCTTTTTTATCCACTCCTCAAGCAAAGAATACACACATGATGAGAAGAAAGTGTAATGGATGCATTCCTCGGAAAGACGTACCATCGCCGCCGGCAGCAACAGGAACCTGACCCACCGCCAGATTAGAATCATCTTGCTTGTTCTTATCTTATTCTATCCCTCTTATCTTATCTTGTTAGTAAGTTATCAGATTAGGATTAGTTTATCTTGATATCAGATTAGGATTAGTTTATCTTGTTATCAGATTAGGATTAGTTTATCTTATTATCAGATTAGGATTAGTTTATCTTGTTATCAGATTAGGATTAGTTTATCTTATTATCAGATTAGGATTAGCTTATCTTTAGCATGATAAAATTGGAAGTCTCCCTATTCAGCAAGGAGACTCCCTAAGATTAGGACTCCTGTAATCTCCTATTTAAGGAGACACCATTATTGAATGAGGATATCGAATGTTCAGTTTTCCAAGTTAAGGAAGAGAGCAAGGAGAGTTCGGGTGGTCTCTTGGACAAATCACCCACTAGGTAATCAAAATAGGGTCTGTGCGCAAGGGAAAGGGCAAGGGAAGATCAGAGGTTCCTCCCGTGGATCAACCCGTGACGCGATCCTACGCCCGGGCCCATAACAGAAAGACACCAAGTTTTTTGTATCCTTTGGAGTCTCTCACAAATGTTAATGGTCTGATTGGTTGCTTTCCAACAAAATACCTTCACATTTGAAGGGGCTGGACCACACCAAAAGGTTTTGAGAGGGTAAGGGTTTGTGATGGTTGATTGGTAAAGGTAAAGGGTATTAAAGAAGGAGGCACACGAAAAGTTGCTATCAGATATTGGGATCCATACCCTCTTATCTGACCTAGAAGTAGGGATGTCAATGGGTCGGGTTAAATGGTAAACCTGCCTTGACCTGATCTGCCCTGCTGGGTTCATGATACTTGATACCCCTACATATATATATAGGCATTCTTGTAATTTTCTATGACTTCTACATATCCTTAAAGTTTAAGATTTCTTTCCATGTTTATTTTGGTTTTTCTTCTTTTACTAATGGAGGAAGTGACACCTTAAAACCTATAAACCAAATTCCAACTTAAATTAATGGCTTTCAGGTTTTCAAAATGTGTTGTAAAAAATGCAATTGAAAGGCTCCAGGTTGGCTCAGGGCTGAGTATGTTCAGAAATGGTCATGTTTCTTAGTCGGATTCAGGTGGGAACATTAAAGGATCGGGTTAGGGTCAAGGAAGACCTATGCCAAACCCAGCCCGTTGACATTCTTACTAGAATATTTGCATAAATTTCAATGTGAAAGGTTCAAGATAATAAACATCTGTGAAAATGTTATCTGGAGAATTTGAAAAAAAATATATATATATATATATGTGTTATCTGGAGAAGGATGTATTTCCAGACTATCAGGTGTAAAATGCCCGTTCGAGAACAACAATGAGGTTACTAAGAACAAGCAGGATGGGATATTTTTAATTGCCAACAGAAAATAACATACCTCAGAAGGGCTGAAAAGGCTACAAGCTTGATTCACTATATCCAGTAAAGATGCTTCCTACCAATTTGAACAGCAAATTACTTGTTCAGGTAAAGCATTAATTAGATCAGGAAATAGAAGATATTGATAGACACAAACTCACCTGCTTACATAGGAACCAAAGGGAAGCAATATCCTGTCTGGTGAAATTCAGCTGATATCTTTCCACTAATGCAGAAGTGATCTCATCCAAAATAGGTTCCTTAAGCTTGTTAACCATGGGTTCCTGACTTTCCCTATAATCCTGCAATCATGTAGCAAATAGCAATACAGTTTTTGACCAAAGAGCTATATTTCAGCAAATCCAAATCCATTCTTCCTGACAGCTTGGAAACCCATGTCATTCAGCTAAAAGGATTTGATATGCTATTACCAAATACCAAAACATGCATCCATGTTGAATAATACATACCCTCTTGGGTCATTGGCTCATTGCATCCACTTTATTCCTTATTATAGTTTCACAAGGTGCAACTTCTTTAACTTTAGATAGTTAACAATGTCTATTTTATTTATTATTTTTTTATCAAATAATGCCAATGTCTATGTTATTAGGAAATATGTAATGATACAAATATTATCGGCAGCCTATAGATAGAGAGCAATGCTTTGTTTTGTACAATGAAACCAATTGCTCCTCCATCCAATTTCCTTTTGACATACGATCAGAATATACCTGGATACCTCCCAGTTGAGAGGATGCACCAACTAACACCTAATGAGAGGTATCTTAGAACAAGCATATTCACAACCTTAGATTAAAATTCCAATTGTCCATATTAAAAGCCTCCCAAAATAAAGGCCCAAAGCAAAGATTGAGAGGCTGATTTCCTGCTGGGCATCCATTCTATCAGACTTCAGGACTTGTAGATTCTCACATTCTTGTAATAAATGGAATTCCATCAATTTCATAGGTAAATAATGTATGGTATGCTTATGCTGTATATGGGTTTTTAGTGAACTATGTCATACCTGTACATGAAATGAGAGGAATACATTCTTTGACATTCGCATATAATACAAAACATATACTTCACTTTGTCAAAAGAAAAGTTTCAATTATCCATATTAGTATATATTGCCTTAAATACTTGAAACTAGGATACCTCTGAAAAACATCAACTTGCTCTTCTTTCATGAGTCAGTTACCACCAAATGTTCAACCTGACAATCTTCATTCGGAATACATGCTCTAACAGCTCTAACCAAGAAAGGGCTTGATTCAGATTGCTTTCCCAAAATCTATCTTGCCTTCCTTTTTTCCCCTTTTGGTTTGCAGGGGATGGGGCTGGGGGACCTCATCAAATAATCTTGGATAGATTTAGGCCCCATTTGGCGCATCTTTCCACGCAGGCTGTCGGCTGTTTAGAAGCCCGGCAGCCCGCATTTTCATCTTTTCCCATTTGGTTGGGGGGAGATCTAGCTGCTGAAAGACTACCCCGAAAAGACGCAGGAAGCACGTTTTGAGCTATTTTCGGGAAGCTCCAAATGGAGCTTTTTCACTTTTTTTCGTCTCGTCTTTGCGCAGAAAGACACACCTCCAACCAAACGGTCTGTGGGCTGCCAAGATTTTTATGTAAAAGCCCACTACGTCTTTTGGCTGTCAGATCTTCCAGAAGATTTTTCAAAAAAGACTTGCCAAATGGCATGTTAATACTGTGCATGGGTACCTAACGTTTCAAGCATGACTTCCTGATACAACATGAAGACCAACTATATATACATGCATACAGATATGTTTGTGTGCACATGCATGTGCAAGCATTCATGTATATATTGTGCAGGAATGGACATAATTATAAATTACGAAAGTTGCATGAAATGAGAGAGCAACACTTTACCTTGTAGTTTTGACAACAATCATAAAACCTAAGCAATATATCACTTGCACGGCTCTCTGTAGTTACAGAAAAAGCACGATGACGCCCTGGTCCAAGACTTCCTCTCCCATTAAATAGTCCAATGCCAAATGCCACAGCACTAGCTGATGCCCGAGGAACCTATCTCATTAAACAAGAAGATACATAATTATGAATTCACCGCCCCTCCCCCCAAACAAATAAAAAGAAAAGGAAAAAGCAATAACACAAGGTAAAATAAGTGATGTATGAACACCAGAAAAAATAAAATAAAATAATAATCAAGTACATCAAACAGCGATTTTTCTACCTAACCACTCAAAATGGGACTGCATATCTGCCTACATGCCTAACACCATGTTAACAGAAAAGGTGAGAGGAAAGCAACCATTTCTCTACTTCTTATCAAACAATATACTTAACCCAAATAACTCTATTACAGGAGAGGAAACCTTGATCCTGTACTACCACCATCTAAGGTATGCTGCATGCCTACACCCATGACCCAACAAACAGGAGAAGACCAAGCTAGCTAGTAAAGTTTACTAGTTTATATTTCCTGTGGTCTTCTGTGTTTTTTTTTTTTGATATATTTATGGTCTTCTGTGTTACTTGTACAATGTTTGCACTATTTGATCAAAACCATTTAATCTAATATCTTATGAAATTTATGAAGCACTATTGTCGCATGATAATATTTGTTTGACATTATTGCATAAATGTACAGCACAACTTCATCCACATGCCAGGTCACTACAACCTCCTCCTAAAACACCTTATCACCAATTTGTGTGGTGCAATGCTTCTGAAATTTTAGATGTCACACCAAAAATATATGGTGAAACAAATGTCACAAATCAATAGATGAAACCCAACCATTTTCTGCAGATTCCACAAACACAAATTAAAATGAGAATACAAAATACGAATCTCAAAAAAGTCAAAATATCTCCAACTAACAGAGAAGGATAATAGGGTTAACTATATTTTGAACATTGCTAACCATTTAGAATATCCTTTTTCTTCATTAATAAGTGAGCCCACTTCTTTCTTTTCTGCTAACCTTGGCAAGTGAGATCAAATCCTCCCTCCTCTCCCTCCTTCCCACCCTCCATCCCTAACATTTTGGTACCAGCTAAAGCAATCCTGTTCCAAAATTCAACTCTAACTGGAACAATGTTAAGAAGTTAGTGATCCAAACTGGGTATAACCAAGTTTCAATCCTTTTATGGCATCACTTGGATGCTAGATCATTCAGATCACAAGATCTGCAAGTAATAAAAAGGAACATTAAAGCTCCATTGGCTACATGGAAAATGAAATAAAACAAATAGTTTCTGGAAAATGCTGTTTTATAGTGTTTGGTTGCAGATAAAATGGTCATGGAAAATGAGTATTTACAAAACATAAGTAAATGCAGTGGAAAATGGCGTGCATTACAAATTTTCAATTTCCCTTGTTTTATATGTAATAACCTAAAATGGATAGGCACTTTGTTTTTATTAGATTCCGGCTTTTGTTTGGATGCAAAGCAGTATCCAGGGGTTTTACAGTTTGGTTGCAGGCTCTTTGGCCAACCAAACTGACCTAGTCGGGTTGGCGAATTGGTCACCCGAAATTGATCGACCATTAGTGAAAACCAGCCAACTCGGGTTGTATCAGTTTGTTGTTTGGTCAATTGGTTCAAAATATTTAAATTTAAAAATTGCAGCAGTATTATTAAAAAGTCAATTTTGAAAAAAAATAAATTTACAATATAAAATATTTTAAACTATGAAATATGGGAATTTTCCCACTTTCCCATATTAAAAATTAAAAATTTTAAATACAAAATATAAAATATTAATATATATCTATGGTCGGAATCGGATCGGGTCATTTTGGTTGATTTATATGCGGCCAAAGTGTTAAACCGAAACCAGCCTAACCTCTAGGGTTAGCATAATGGCTGAATCGAAGCCAATCGAAAATACTAGAAAACCAACCAACTCAGGTCAAGTTGGGTCGGGTTGGTCGGTTTGGCCAATTTCATCGGTTTGATGAACAGCCCCAGCATATTCCAGTGATGATCCATGTGAAAGAAGATGGAAGCTAATATTATGAGAGAGAGAGAGAAAAATGGGGAGAATTAGAGAGAAAATGGCAGAGAGAAAGTAATAATTAGATGGAGAAGGAGGTTGTTCCCTTTGAATCGTTTCTATATTTTCCTTTGAATTTATTTATTTATTTTGAGAAAGGGATTCAAAGATTTCCTTAAAAAAGCAAAGTACATGAGAAGATGTACACAAAGGAGAAATTTCCTCTGAATTTATTTATTCTTTAGTCAATAAGCTTTCCTGTTTTGCCTGTACTTCTATATATCTCATTACCAAAAAACAAGAATATCCCTGCAAATCTATTATTCCAAAGAGATATACAAGTGTAAACCACAAGAAATACCATTGCTAATCTAGAGCCATATTTGTAGTTTAAGCATGAGCCAACACTAATGCCTTAGATTGCTCTCAACCTAGTGATGTAGGATAGGAAGAGGAAAAGGCCTTACTAAGGCATACTTGGAGGCATGGATATAAAAATAAAAAGAAAAAAAGAAACACTAAGGTTTGGAAGAAAGGGGATGTTAATGGGGTCTAAAAGGGCTTTTGATCTGAAAGATTAAAGAAAAGGTGTTGTAATATAAACTATCAATGGTAGAAAATCCAAACAAGAACTTAACAAATAAAAGATATGAACCTAGAACAATGATTTAAAAGGCGCACCGCACACAGGCAAGGCACATTTTATGGCATGCGCCTCACCTAGGTCCTAGGCGCAATCCTTTCAAAAGGTGCACGCCTGGTGCACCTTGCGCCTCAGCCCAAGCATGTGCCTTTTGAAAATTTGACCCTTTTTTGCTTTTTTTGAACATAGCAGCTGGGTAGCAAATAGGGGGTTCTCGTCTGCTCTGAAGTAATGCAATTGAGTAAAAAAAGAGATTAGAGGTTTTACATGCTTGAAAATGTTTTATATGTTTGATTTTATTTTTAAATTCTCATTTGAATATGCTTTACATCTTATGTTTATGTATTTTAATTTTAGATAATAGGCTTTTTAAAACATTTATTTTAAAATTTAAGCTTATATTTTTTATTAATATTATGTTTAATATTTTTTTTATTTTTTTGGCATTTTTTTGAATTTTCTGACTTTTTTTATTTTTTAGCTTTTTTTTAATTTTTGCACCTTGCTTCAAAAAGGCATGCACCTCACCTTGCACCTTGCGCCTCAGGCGCAAATTGACCTCTGTGCCTTGCGCTTTTAAAACACTGACCTTAAAAGTATTTTCAAAGCTAGCAGCAAAAAGCAGTTGCACTAGTTGAGAAGAAAACAATAGCAAGGAAAAAGAACAAAGAGGTAAGGAAAGAATATGTCAAACCTTGGATAAAAGAGAAGAAGAGGGAGAAGCACCTCCAATGACACAAACTCAAATTCAAATTTTTATTCCATTTTTAATAACTACCTATCAAATTACAAAGCATATATTTAACTTGGGGAGAAGTAGGCACCAGCTCACTTTTATTGTTAAATGGGACTCTTAGAAAAGAAACTTTAGGAAAAAGTTTACTTGAGTAGGACTAAATCCCATCACCAACCAGCACCTTGCCAATAATAGTCATAACTTTCCTACCTCATGCCATATTCACAAGATCTTGATCTCACAAGGGAAAAAACTTTCCAAATACAAAAAATCAACCCAAAACACTAATGTAATAGCTCTATAAAAAAAGTGAAAGGACCCAACCTTAAGGTCCAAAACAACCTTGTGAGAACTCCACAAAATAACCAACCAAGTCACCAGAGAACTTCTAAACAACTTAAAATCGCTTGCTCTGAAACCTACTAAACTTATTAAATTTAAAAACAGATAAGCTGCAGAAACTATGGAAATGACCTTAGAGACCAATCTTCTGGAGATTTCAAATATTTCTCACGTGGCCCAAGCTTTGGGCACCATTGTAATGGTAAAATTTCAAGTTGTCAAGCATGAGAATGTGGGCCTGGGTCTAAGAGAAGCCACTTTGTGCAAAAAAAAAATGCTAAAGGTTAGGACTATATCCAATTAACCCCTCCCAAGACCCCAATAGCTGGGACCAATATTGGGTAATGGCTTTCTTTAATTTTGATTGTGATAAAAATAAGAGAACTTTATTTTATTTTTTCCTGTAAGATTGTTGGTTTCATTTGGAAATTCTTTTCTTCTCCATTTGGTTTGAGAGTCTTTCATCCTGGATCCCCTGCAGAAGTTTTATCATTGTGGCCAGGAAGCAAGAAGGCCAGAATAGTGTCGAGCTGCATTCCCTTTGTTGTATGTTGTATCACTTGGAAAGAAAGAAACAAAGGTTGTTTGAGAATATTGAAAGGCCAGTGGCGGTCATTGGCAAAACTGGCAGATTGGGTGCTAATTCTTCCAGAAGTCATCAAAGGAGAAAGGTGAAAAGAGGTCCAAGGACTTTACACAATTTATAGCCCTATTTAGAGTGCTTTCCCAAATACTAGTCTCATCCCTTTCCTTGTTGTTGAAGATTCTAGCATTCCTTTCCTCCCAAAAGTCCACACTAGAGCAGCTCTAGCGCACCTCCCCAAGACTCTTCCCCTTCTCTTCAGCCACAAGAAGGTTGAAGAGTCAAAAAGACTACTGATCGGCTCAATCCACCTACAACCAAAAAGACCAAAGAGCTTCTCCCAAAGACCAGCCACAACAGGGCAAGAAATTAGTAAATGGTGGCAACTTTCTCCATTTGCTTTGCAGAGGGTACACCAGTTAGGGGAGATACAAAGACTAGGTCTTTTAACTTGCAAGACATCCAAGGTATTTAATTTTCCAAGAGACACTTCCCAACAAAGAGCTCCCACACTTGGACGGATAGGTATGGACCAAACTTCCTTGCCTATGGGTTATTCCTAACCCAATCCTCCACTTACCAAGTCTACTTTAGCAAACCCCCCTGTGTATTATCTCTCGGTTTTTAGCATGCCTATGGTTATTGCTAAAAAATTAGAAACAAATAACGAGGAATTTTTTGTGAGAACTAGGAGAGATCAAGAGAGATCATCTAATTAGATGGGAAGTAGTTTGCAGGAGGAAGGAAAGTGAAGGACTGGGTTTTAGGGAAGTTGAAAGAGAAAAACTTGGCCCTTTTAGGAAAGTGGTTGTGGAGATTTCCTTTGGAGGTAGATAGACAATGGCATAAGGTAATAGCCAGCATTCATGGGCTCTAAGAGAATGGTTGGGATGCTGGAACCAGGGATTTAAATATCGATACGATACGTCTGATACGAGGCGTATCGTATCAGTATTGGTTAGTAACAATACAGGATATGCTACAAATACAAGCGTATCCCGTCAGTCGTTCGTATCGAATGGATACGGATGCATATCGGCCTGTATCGCATTGTATCGGCTGATACGCACCGATATGCGTTGCATCATTCAAAACTCTCTATAAAAAATTGTGAATGAGGTGATTCGAACCCGGGTTGTCTCATGCGCTATAGAATTCGCGACATTTCCAAACCAGTAAGTTGCACTACGTTTTGTGATATAAAGTAAAATAAAATAAATTTTATAACTTTTTCTATTCACATGCAATTTAAACAAAACACACATTTATATTTAACGCTAACTAAAAATTAAAAAAATAATATTTAAAAATAGTATTTTATAAACTAATAGAATAAATAATGTATCAAATCCACATTTATATA